ACACACACACACACACAAAGAAAGAGAGAGAGAGAGAGGCAAAGACTATAAAGGGACTTTGATATATGCATTTGATATATATATATATATATATATATATATATATATATATATATATATATATATATATATATATATATATATATATATATATATATATGTGTGTGTGTGTGTGTTAAATAGGTCTTGTTTTAATTACATCACAATAATACGTGAAAATAATCACGTATTATAAAGCTGCGCCTAGCTCGGAAACAATAATGCAATGTGCTGCTCAGAAATGGCTTTATTTTGCTCAGCATCAGGAGCATAGCAGCAAGAAGTTTGGCAGTGACGTTAATTAATGTCAAATAATTATACTGCTGTTTTTATATAATTTATGCATATGCAATGAATGGATCGGGCATAGGCCTATGTTCTAGTATCTGGTTCAAATGATACGTAAATTTGGTGTATTATGTATATTAAACAGTTATTTTAAACGAAAAAAATAAAGATCATAGTTCTCTTTGGCTGTTGGATCCGACTCTTGCATCGTTCATTTATGGGACCTAATATCTGCTCTGTGGACTTTTGAAGTAAAATAATGTTTAAGAAATAATATAGGCTATAGATAAATTAATGTAAACACAGTTTATTACAAAGTTTTTGTAGCATAATATACAACACCAGCCCAGACAATGTAAATAAATACATAAATAATAAATAATAAAAAAGTAAAAATCACAAAATACTGACAACTGTTAAAACAGATATTTTGTACTCGACATTAATCCAGCGAAAGTCTCGAAAGGAAGGCTTATTATTATTATTAGTATTATTATTATCATTATTATTATTATTATTATTACTATTATATAGGCCTAGCTTGGAAACAATCGTGCAAACCAAGTGCTGCTCGCAAATCTTGCTCAGTATCAGGTGCATAGCAGCAAATTTGGCGGCGAACTATAACAGTAATGATAAATTGTAATGATAAATGTCTAATAATACTGCTAATATATTATATATTAAATATAATATATTAAATGCCTGGGTGCTGATCCGTAGAGGACGAAGACTACAGGACTGTTATTTTGAAGGCGACGTCAGGAGCCCAGATTCGATTGACCAATCAGAGGAAATGGGCGTTTCAGAACCGCCTACATGTGGATAATGAATTTTAAAGTCATTTATCCGTTTTCCTACCCTAAACCGAAAAAAGAAAATCGAGCCAAAATCAGTTATTTAATTTTTTTGTAGCCAAATAAAAAAACGAAAAACGGCCGTTTCCTCGTTTTTTAAATTTCGTTTAAGATCAAAAATCGAATGAACGCAACGTACACGGACCAGTAATGACAATCATTATATTATCGCTTAAATATGATCATTATCAGTGGATTTGATTTATTATATAAAACTCTATTTAAAACGTGTTGATTTATGGACTGCTTTTGGTGCTGGATACTTTTTATTCATGGTTTTGTGTTAAACAACAGCTGCTATTTGATATAAATTAACATTTTAATTTGATCATAGTGTAAGTGTACTAAAAAATAAAAACGAATTAAGTGAAATTAAATAATAATAAAACGAAAAAAAAAAATACTTAAAGAAACAAAAGTAAAAACAACGAATGAAGAGAAAATGCTTATTTGCCTAAAGATCGTGTAGTTGAAAAGGACTAGTTGGCTTTTTTTTTTTTTGGCAGATGAAGGAAAGTCAGAACACATGTCTAATGCTTATAGTAAATGTGTCTTGATTTATTTTGCACTTCACGTGTGTTTGGCTGTAAAAGCGCAACTATAGGTGTTCTCTAAACAGGCGCATGCCGGTCAGATTATCCCCAGTTCGTCATTTATTTAATTTAAATTCATTTTGTGTTAAAAAAAAAAAAAAAAAAAAAAACATTAATTAGACCTGTCCAGTGTCGTCTGGAGTGTGTCCCAGACCGCAATCTGAAAATGGTTTGAGCGACTGGATTAATATCAGATCAGAATAAAGCGAATGAAGTAAGCAGGGGACCCAGGCTATGATTGAATATATTATAGGCTATATGAAATATTAAACATACTAGATTTTTGATTTAATGCATTAATTCTGTTGTATTTTTATTAATTGTATTTGTAAATAGATATTGTTCAGTTACTTCAATATTTTCAGACATTTGTTGTTGTTTTTTATCATTAAGGATTTATCACTGTTTCGTATTGAGTTGAGGAAATGAATATTATCTTCATATACAATACATTTCTTCACATACAATAAATTATAGTACTCTGAGTAATTTTCTCACAACAAACTTTATTTTTGTGTACTTTATCATGAGGTTCTACAAGTCAAGTTGTAAACAATGCATAGAAAAATGGTGAAAAATATTAATTGAAGTAGTTATTATTTTTTACGTAGAAAGTAACATTAAATAAAATAAATGCTTTACATTCTTATTGGGGAGATTTTTCATTTCTAGAGCAAAAAAAACTGGAAATATTTGCAGTCTTTGGTGTATTAGTGTTGGCAAAGACCCACTTTTTAAACTGTAATATCAATCTGGGAAAAAATACACACCACAAGCAAATTATTTTTGATTTCACCTAAGAGAGCTCATATTGTAAATTCTATGCAGATTAACTGATATTTTGATTTCCAAAAAATGTGTTTGTAATTATTACAGAACTTATAAATAATTGATAAACTGTTATTGTGTTACTGTTATTGTCTTTGGTAGCACTTTCAGATAGATAATACAGTAATGTGTACAGTAGACCTATACAGCACTAAAATATGTTACAAATAATAATTGCGCTATATATTATACATTTTATTTTAACATTTTTACTTTAAAGTTTTTTTTTATTTTGCCAAAAAACATTGCTAAAAAATTGTCCCAGATTGGTACAATAATACATAAAATAAGATCAAGCTGTAAATACCACAAAATAATGCTCTTATATTACACTAACAAACAATTATTTCAGTGTTTGATTTTATCAAAATTAGTGTCAATTTACACCACATTGATTTATGCCATAAAACTTGGTAATTTTCAGGAATCGCTTTAATAATCAATAACCTTACTGGCGTTTCTGATGTTGCTACTTGCTGGAAAGTGCTGGTCTCCACTTCACCCAATCTAACAGCAGGGGGCACTGTCTGGTCTGGAAGTGCAGGTCTGTGCGCGCAGGTCTGAGCGTGCAGTTGGGTCTCCGGGCCTGCAGGATTTACCCCTTTAAAATAGTGCTGCTGGATGTGCTTTTCCCTTGTTTGCTAGTGTTATTCAGGTCCTGCAGTGGCCATCAGTGGAGTCAATGGCTGCATTAGAATGAAGGAATCTTCTATTAACAACATTGCCAGATTCTGATCTCCATACTTTAGTGGTCCATCCTGATAAAAACACTGCTGTGTGGTCTGGAAAAGAGATATACTTGAACTAATTGAATTTTAAATCAGAGAACAGCAGAAGTTCTCACCTTTAAAAAAACATTCTGTCATGATGTTATTTTGTTCATGCTGCTGTGAAAGGACATTTTATTTCACACTTCTCAAAGAGTCTCAGAGAAATCATTTGTAGGTTCATGCTTTTAAGATCCTGCTCTGATGGGTTAGATGGCCGAGTCTGTTGTGACTGATTGATGAATTCATCTGGGTTTCTGCACATATATAAATATATTATACAACCTGTCTGTTGACTCAATAAATGTTGTCACAACTGAAATGTTTCTTTTTCTTAAGTTTTAAAATATATGCAAAAGAAATTGCTGATTTGAAAGGCCAGCAGACTATGACTTGCAATTATAATAATTAAGGGTGTCCAAACTTCTGCATAAAACTGTATATATATATATATATATATATATATATATATATATATATATATATAAAATGTGTGCGTATGTGTAGCAACTACTCTTTGTGAAAAGTTTCCTGCTGCATTCCTTTCTTAATGAGAGAAAAACTGTTGTTTTAGCTTATAGTCATTACAGTTAAAGTAGAACATAATTACACAGAGACGATTGTCAGTGAAAGCGTATTTATTCAGGCAAAACAAATTAGACATCTCATTAAAACGCTTCATTATGTAGCCCGATGATATTAAAGGCGATATAGAACTGCTCAGGAAAACACTAGGCTAGTCACAGCAACAATTTGTACACAAATATTCATTTACAACTAATTAATTTGGTAGAACATGTTCAATATAACAAATCGATATACAGAAACACGTTACATAAAAATACTCTGCTACATGCAAACTGTAGACTTTTCTCCTCATAGATCATCTTTGATTTAAAGAAATGTTGACTTGGAGAAAGAAACCCACACAGATGACGCAAAGACCGGCAATAAGGAAAATCATGCATTTGTTCAGAACAGAAGACATCAGGAAGAAATGCATTATGTAACCTTAAACAACAGCAGCTAGCTACCTAAAAAATCTGACAAAGCTACAAACTGAACACAGATGATATGTTTACCCTTCCATCCTTTCATCATGTCAAACTTCAGCATCTTTATTTCATAGCCGAAACCAATTTTATGACGTCTCGCAAAATATTACAATTGATCAGTGAGCTTGAAAATCATTTTCTCTCCCCATATGAAGGGCGACTCTTGTTCTATCATAATGGAGTACAACAATAAACACTTATACTGTGAAGAATTGTGTGTGTGTGTGTGTGTGTGTGTGTGTTACAATACATTTGGCTTGAGGATGAGCAAGTTCATCATGAAGACATTCATTCACCTCGGTACCAAAATAAACCATCAAAAATACCATCAATCCACCTAAAGTGATCACCTTCTCTAGCAGCGGGAAATCTCAAAACTAAATCATTGATAGTTATCTTATATTAATATAGTTTATATAACACCTGAAACATTGTATAAAATATAGAAGTATGTTCTTTATTCTAAAGATATTGTTGATTCATCTAAGACATTTAAAGTAATGATGTTTCCTTCCACACTATCAGATTCTCCTTGTTATTGGCACATGGGCGTTCTGCAGATGTCGAGGGTTTTCACCATGCCAGCGGTGAGGCGATTCGTGGGCTTTTGGGGTTTTCTGTTCCTTGTGTTTCACTCAGTGCTCTCTATTGAACAGAAACACAGCAAACGCTCACTTCAGGTGTCTTCCTCGCACGTGTGGCAAAAAAGTCAGGATTTAATAAGAACTCACCTCAAATTTGGAAATGAACTCAGCGAAGATGCCGAAGAAGGTTTCTGTGGTTGTGACCTTACTGTCCTCTCCAAAGTAAGAGGCCACTTTATGAAACTCGTCCATCGCTCTTTGCTGCAAGGAGTCGAGGGATTGAACCGCTGGATGACAGTTTTCCAGAAAGCTCTAATAGAAAGGTCAAGGCCAGTTTCCATATGTTTTTTACAGCATACAGTCTTAAAAATAAATGCTTCAGACAGGGGTTTGTAGTAATGTAAATTAATTTTGCAATACAAGTTTTACTCTAAAGAACTTTCTGTGCAATGGAAGGATTCCACAGCTTTTAAAGCGTTCGTCATGGAGCCATCAGTGCCAATGAATCTTTTTTCAAGAGTTCACATTTAGATAACGCTAGATGGTGTTAGCAAGGTTTGGCATGCTGTCCCAGAAGAGAACCCTGAGCTCGGAGATAGATGAGCCCTAGATTGGGTAGTTCTAGAGAGCTCCCCCCGATTTATTAAGCCTAGTCCTTGATTAATATTGACAGCTGTGGTGGTGGATTTTGGATGAACCTGATTGGGGTGTGCAGGCCCTTGATAATATCTCTGGGGGCCCTATAAATGTATGGGCCTTAGAATCGTCCAAACCTGCTCCCCTAGCCGTGCCGCTGTAGAGAGATCATGTTTTCATCTTCGATAGGTCTCATGCAGTCACATGATGCAATTTCGCAAGTCACAGTGCACCAAGCTTAAACTTTGCAATGCAGCGAACTGTGAAACTTGTCGCACAAGCTTGTTTCCAGTCTGACGCATTCGCGTGTGTATGAATGGAAGATAATGGGGAGAAAAGTCCTATATGACCGCAGCTTTAGGCTGGATATTTACAGTATGTTAAATTTAGAATAATCTAATTGGCTAGCTAATGATTACCGATAGGGACCAGCTGCAGTCAATCATATCACATGCTCCTCTGTAAATTAGTTTAAACAAACTTCACTTAAAGGGATTTGCTGTTCCAGCACATACAGTGAGTGTTCACACACTTTGCTTAAACAGATTCACTCAAACCTGAAAATTCTTTCATCATTTACTCACCCTTCACTTGAAAATTTTTCATACGTCATAAATCATGTCAATTGTTACTGGTTTCTAATATTCTACAAAATATATTTTTTGTGTGTTTGTGTGAGAGAATAAAGAAACGCATGAAGGTTTGCACCAAGTGTGCCGCAAGCCTACGTTTGAGTGAAGGTTTCGGCCGTTAGATCGCCCCCTGGGGGCTGGCTGCAGTACAAGTCATAAAGCCCGCCTCCTCCGTGTTAATGAAGGAGACTTGAGCCCAAATAAAAAAAAATATTACACTTGCAATAAAATGTCCCGAAAGATAGTTCTGGTCGATTAAGGCACTGGTTATTGTGCTGAAATAGGTGCAGATCTTCATTTTTGTAAACAGTTTGTTTTTAGCAGTAATTTAATGCTGGGCGTGTCATCGTGATTGACAGCTGTGATTGACAGTTTCTCAAAGCGCGGCGTCTGAGCTTCGGCAGAAGACTGAAGTAGACTGAAATGTTATTATTCGATTTCTGTGTTATTTTACCATGACAAAATGAGTTCAGCAGTAAACTATAGTTTCTGACATACATGATCCTGGTGGAACACTGTTTATTCGCTAAGTTCAGGGCTTTTTTCGGGCTTCATTAGTTTGCTGATACACGCCTAGCCACCCAGATAGCAAAACACAGTTCCGGCTAGATTCTCGCCTGCCGGAGACTTATCTCTTAGAGCTCAGACTGACTAATGTTACCTCTGCTGGACCTACTCCGGATGCCTGGACTCACTACCCAATTCCAGCCCGAGTCAATCGAGCCAGATGCGGTGGCCGAGCGAGCAGGCGCTGCCGCCTGCGAGCCGGAATCAGCCCGCGACGCCGCGAGTAAGTTATGCGCTGCGGCCTGGAGCTGGCGCGATTGAATATATAAAACCCTCATATTTGTTAACGTTATTACATCCATTTGTGTTGATATGACAGCAAACGCATGCTGAGAAGTTCGGGGGGCGTAGTTGATTTTACATAAAGCGTTTGATTGGAAGCTCGACTCTGCTCATTTTCGCGGCTCCTCCTCTGGCTCCATCAGACAATCCTTCTGCGCATGTCTGGCTCCAATTTCAGCAGTCTTTTGCGACAGTTTGTGCCCGTCAAGCAGGCGTTTTGCCCTCAAGGCGTTCAATGGGAAAAAGGGCTGTCGCGTCGTCCATATTTTTTACAGTCATTGGTTTGCACCCACTTGAGGGTGAGTAAATAATGAGTACATTTTCAGTTTTGTGTGAACCATACCTTCAAATACTTTAATTTTTTTTACATTTCTATTAATCGTTTGTGAAATGTAAAGTTTCTATGGATGTCAAAGTTCTTCACTGATTCCAATATAGAATCTTTATTTATAAGAGTGTAGTTCACACAAAAACGAAACAGATGCTACTGCATTCCTGATGATGCTAATGTGTATGCTAGGGCTGCACGATATTGGACAGAATCTGACATTGCAATGTTTTCTTTTCCTGCAATGAATATTGTAATACATACACAATTTCCCCGCATAACTGGAACACTGCTATTTAGAAGGAATGTATTACTGTAGAAAGGCTGGCATGATTCTGTAGGGAAGTGAATCATGCATAAAAGCAAGTAAACAAATTGCAAGCAAATACATCCATATCATATAAGCTAAGATAAAAGTGAAATAAACTGTTCACAGAAATAAACTGTGTACATTGTGTAACTGTGTAATTTAAACAATAAAATGGAAAATGACACTGCAAACTCTTTACTGACATAACTAATTCAATAAAAGTTATTAAACAAAATGTATTGAGCTAAATTGTGCAAATGAAAAACGTTCACTCCATTTTGGTTAAAGTCTGCAATAACTACACTCATGTGTTTCTCATGGTCAACTATAATCATAACTCAACATTGCCGATCCTGTGATGTGACTAGTGCGGATGTGCACATTGTGATATTGATGCTGAAAGGATATCTTGTGCAGCCCTAGTGCATGTTCTTCTTTATCTTGCTCGTGCTCCATTACATAACAGCAGTGTATAGCAGTGATGGATGCTTTTGAAGCGCTCCGAAAACTTGAATCTTTTGTTTCGAATCATTGATTAGGAGCGCATATCAAATTGCAACATGATTTGAGTAAACAAGACTTTGTTACATCATAACTGTTAAGAAACACTATTTAAAATACACAGCGTACTGATGCTTATGAATTTGTGGTTTTTGGTTATTTATATAATGGCAGTCAATGGTTACCGGATTTTTAGATTAAAAAATAAACATTAAAACAAGCCCAAATCTACAGCCAGAGACGTACTGAACTATACTTGTTTTGAACATTGATTGCAAATATTGTTTAATTAATTGCACAGCCAGACTACTTCATTAGCCTTGATTATATTATTAAGAGCTACAGAGATTGATTTATTCTTGTTTGAATGTTCATTTTTACATACATTATACAAAATCACTAGGATCACAGATTCAGCTCAAAATCTATAATCTACAAGGTGAGTGTGAGTACATGTAATTTTGTCATTTTTGGGTGAACTATTCCTTTTAAAAAATGTAATGCTGGTCACTTTTCAGTGTCATTAAATGAACAAGCCTGAGCAAGACTTTAAAAAGAGAAGTCTCCTTTTATGATCTAAAAAAAGGCTATAGAGCACTGAAAGAAAAGCAGGGTGCATGAGTATGACAGAACTTACATTTTTGGGTAAACTAGCCCTATAGGATTGTAGCTGACCTTAACTGTTTGAATAATTAGCTTTCAATTTTGTCTTTATTACAAAGGGTGTCTGCAAGGTCTTAAACGTTTTAAAATTGACTGAAATATTGTCTTAAATCTTTTTTAAACAAGTCTTAATTTTCCTTTGTTCATGTATGGTCGATCTGGCAAACATCCATCCAATAAATAAATTATAAAACTTTAAACTTTTTTTTAAGAATGTAAATTTTAACTTTATTTACCATAATGGTTTTATTCTTTTCCTTACAGTAAGATTTGTTTCAAAGTTCTCCATGTATTTACTGCTGAGGATGCTGACCTGGACAGAATGTCGTGCATACACTTATTATAGTCTTTAAAACAATTATTTTTGATTTTGAAGAAAGGTTATGTTGAAAAAGTGTATGTATACAACTACAGCTTGCTTGTTTTGACACAATATGTAAAACATTTTACTCAGAAATAACAAAAATATAAAAATTTTAAATGATTAAATTATTATTGTACTATTAAATTAAAAGGATTGATGGGGCAAATATAAATCTTTTCCAACTAGGTCATTTGAAAAACTCCTTAGCGTTTAGCCCTGTTTGAGTCTAAAATGTCATTCATAATGACTTTAAAAGTCTTAAATTGAACATGCTGAAAGCTGCAGAAACCCTGATTACACTGAAGAAGCTGTGGGTTTAAGGATACACTCATGACGGCTGCGAATCGATCCTCTGCTGTAGCTGGGATTTTCACACAGGCGGTTCTTATGTCCTGGATGGTGGAGTGAACGTCACTGAGATCAGCAGTAATGGTCCTCTGATTGACTGCAATTACAGTGAACAGACAAACACACAAATCAATCATTGATCAACCTTTAATTAATTGACAGCATATTTTTCTCCAAAAGTTTGGGGTCAGTAAGTTTATTTAGGATCACATTTTATCAAACTTTTTCATTTGTTTCCTATCTATTCAGCTTATTTAGATTTTGATGCAGAACATTTTACACACATACACGCATAGTTTTTCTGTATTATATATCGATATGCATTTAAGTTCGTGAAGTAAGAATGGGTTTTAACCACAGCGGTTCGAACTGTAGTTCTGCCGAATGACTAAAAAGTTATCAGCATGATGGTAAAAAACTGAACATTCTAGTCAAACCATTCTTCTGCAATCTCATACCAAAAAACAGAAATAAGGGCAGTGTTAATAGCTTAAATGTGGGAGAACATGGATATTATGTCATTGTATTGTATTTTAATATGGGGCAATTAAGTGTTGATGTTAAATCAAAAGTAATTTACAAATACTTGAAAATGAGATGATTTAATGACAATAATTCTTTGGTTACAACTGAATTGATTACAAAATAACTGTGTAAAATGATAAAATATGAAATGATAAAAACATAAATGTAAAATTGAAGTTAGCTATAAAAGAGAGAGATGGCAGGAGAGACAAAGCATAAGTAGGCCTCAAAGAGGCAGAGAAGATCAGGAGAAGAGCAGAGCAGGAGAGAAGCAGGCCAGGAAAAAGAAACAGCAGAGTTTCCCAGCTATTTTGTACCTTTCTTGACCATGTGACTAAAGCCCAAATGATGAGACATTCAAACTGATCAATCAACATGTGACCACATCGTAAAACCCCCAAAGTCCACACACCAGGCCCTCATCTAATTAGTATCTGCCTTTGGATTTAGTGTGAGCCTTCTTTGGTGGAAAAGACATATAAACAAATGCATATGATAATTTTCATTCCTACGACGAGATAACTGTTTTGGGTAGAATTCCTCATTTTGCATTGATTGGGATGATTTTGTACAAGAGTGCATCTGCAAAATAACAGACAAAAGTTCAATAAATTAAAGCACAGATGAAAAAAAAAAAAACAGTGACGCTTTTAAACTGGTTTGGAGCTGCTTTAGCTCAGTTTTAAATAAAATAGTTGTTTTGTCCCAAGTAATTGTGCCCAGATGTCCCTTTTTTCCCCTTATTTCGACCCTACTGTAAGAACGGTCCAGTCAAAGATAGGCTAACCAAGTGCATCGTAGAACAAAAAATAAAATTCAAATAGTATCCATTATTAGCGTGCAGAAAGTGAAGGCAGATAAGTAATAGGCGGAATCATGCAGAATGGACTCATAATTGAACCCCCACACAATCCTGTCTTCCCTAAACCGAGACAGCTTCTGACCAAATTATATAGCCTACACACAGAGTTATCAAAATGTCCATCGCTGCGGAGTATCTGTCTCTAGAAAATACATGATAGAAGTCTAACCTAACCTAATCTTCTAGAATTGATAAATTCAAGACCAAACAGGAAATTTGAAGCATGGATTTTAAAGATATTTGTAAAGATAGTTTAAAGTTTAATTTTTAAAGATAACCCTATTTAAAGTATTTATTGCAAAGCAGTCATTTAGGAAGTAGGCTATTGCAAATGTTTGTTTAAGGATTTTGCCAGCCTGTTTAAAATGTGAACTTTGTTATGTGATTAATTTTGTATGCTTGTACACCTACTTTAGTAAAATAGAACACATAATTATCAAATATAAACCAAATTGTGAAAAATATGATAATGGCGTGTACAGACGCTGATCTGGGATCAGTTTATTGTTCGGAGCGCGTCTGTCAGTCAGCGCTTATACATGCATTCACTGGTTCAGAGGTTGCATATGAAAGGCGACGATCGACGCACAGATTTAATGTAAAGAAAGTGGGATAGAATGGTAAAATATGGGAGAATTTCGCCAAAAACGGGAGGGTTTACATGAGTGATGTGAACAGGAAGTGTTTGTGGAGAAACAGTTTTGCGGGGGAATGCAAAACATCATTGCGAGAAAACGCAAAACATTTTTGCAAAGGGAACGCAAAACTTTGCGTGAGAATGCAAAAACTTAGAAATATATTCCTCCCACCTATTTTTTTCTTTCATCCATTATTTTTTTTTTACCCAGCCAATTTTTTTCTTCTTCACTACTTCCTTCCCGGGGTTCCGTACAATCGTGTATAAAACTAAATAAAATAAATTTATAGGATTTTTAAAATGTATAAAAAGGATTTTAGTTCAAGAGTAGCCTCCAAGGTTTGAAATCACACATTGCACTCATACTGCCAAGGAGATTGTAACCATTATTAATCACACACACACAAAGTAATCTTCATACATCAGAGTAAAACAAAATATACTGTAATATAAGCACACAAACAAAAAAATAAATGAAAGTTATATGCAGCCTACAGTGTTGATTGGTCATCTGAGATGTGTGAAATTCCTCCTTTGTTAGTCAAGTTCTAGGACTGACTAGACTGTCAGTTGCTGTAATAAATGTATCAAATGTTCCACAGATTCATATATGATATTTATGGTATTATGTTCTTGACTAATTTTGACAATTGAACAGACTATTGTGCATGTGATGACTTATACAATGAAATGATGCAGATATATTTTGGAGCGAACAACCATTAAACTAAGAATCAACAATCAGTTTAGATCAACTAAAAAATAAAAATATAAATAAATATATATAAATGTTAACAAAAGTCTCTTTTTCAAACTTTTAAATGTCGTTTGAAGATCAAGGTCCGATAATTCAAAAGCAAAAATATTATTCACAATATATGAAAAACTGCTCATTTATTTTTTACAGCGCAGCTCCATGTCACAAAAATACATTTAGTCGTTTGGCAGACGCTTCTGTCCAAAGTATCAATAAAATAGTTGTCAAATCTGGTGACAAGAATCCCCACATGGGAACTGCAACACTTGCCAGTACAGTAAGTGACATTATAATTTACTAATGATTTTTCTAAATGCTGTTTGTTTAACCTTTCGAAAATGTTATACTGCTCAACATTAAGCTAGAATGATTTCTGAAGGTTCATGTGAGCTTTAGTAAAACAGTAACTGTGGAAAGTTAGCTTTGTCATCTTAGAAATAAACAACACTTTAAATTATATACAAAAGCAGAATACTTATTTGAACTCTAATAATAGTTTCTGCAGTTTTTTTTCCTTTTTTATTTTTAATTCTTGCTGACCCCAATCTTTTAATTGAATAGTAAATACAAATATCTAACAGGAAGTTGTTTTGGCACAATACTCTACCTTTGGCAGCTAATGGCACTGTTATGAGGTCCCTGGAAAAGCCGAGGAGTTCTGGGAAGTGTTGGCAGAGTGATTTGGCAAGGATATGGAGGAAAGTTGACTTTCCATCAACTGTTTTAGTTGTGTTTAGCTGTAGGGAATTTTAGTTCATAATTAAAGAAAGCAATAAAACAACATGAACAACATTGAATGAAAAACACAGTAATGTTTTGTCTGAAATCACTGCAAAACTTACCTCTGTTAGGAAGTTAATTTTGAATCCTGTTGTTTTATTGGTCTTGGGCTGACCATTATTCAGATAATTTCCCATTGCTAAAACAAACTGGAAACCATACATAATGTAAGAATCAGTTTTGAGTAACTTAACACACAGATGAAAATCAATGCATAGACAATTACATTTTTCTTAAGCATGTATATTATTTGAAAAAATAAGTTATTCTGCAATACAAATATATAAAACAAATACATTACTCTGCTTCTCAGAATTAATCTATGCAGAACTACTGACTTCATGTACAGTGTTTAACGTAGTGTTTAACCTAAAAATTAAAATGCAATCCCTTTTCAGCAAAAAGTAATTTAATTAGAGTAAGTAGTCATTTTTGTTGGGAAAAAGAAATTATGGGGCGAATCAGTGGCGCAGTAGGTAGTGCTGTTGCCTCACAGCAGGAAGGTCGCTGGTTCGAACCTCGGCTCAGTTGGTGTTTCTGTGAGGAGTTTGCATGTTCTTTCTGCATTCGCGTGGGTTTCCTCCGGGTGCTCCGGCTTCCCCCACAGTCCAAAGACATGCGGTACAGGTGAATTGGGTAGGCTAAATTGTCCGTAGTGTATGAGTGTGTTTATGTGTGTGTGGATGTTTCCCAGAGATGGGTTGCGGCTGGAAGGGCATCCGCTGCGTAAAAAACGTGCTGGATAAGTTGGCGGTTCATTCTGCTGTGGCGACCCCGGATTAATAAAGGGACTAAGCCGACAAGAAAATGAATGAATGAAAAAGGAATTACAAAGGAATTTTTAAAACATATTTTTGTCTCTTTATTTATTTCATTAAACAATTGTATATGTATGGCTTAAAGATGATATATTAACTGAACTTCGAGTGTGATGTTTTGCATACTAAAGACGCATTTTTGCAGAAGTAGATGAAGCTGCTGGAAATGCAAAGGCCTGAGTGTCTAAAATTAACTTGAGCTCTGCAGCGAAACGTCCTGTGAGCACAGAATTTGCAGTTGAGTAGATTGTGCTTTTTGACGTTGTGCAAAGAATTTGTAGAAAAAGAGGATGTATGTATGGGTGCAGCCAATGGAGGACTGGAGAATGATTGACAAGTGATGAATTTCACTAAACTCCACCAGTTAATATCAGCTGCCTGTATAAGTTGTAGTTAGGAAATGAAAACTGTGCGCACCTCCTGAATGTAACTTTTACATTGCATTAAGGATAACAGAATTATTCATTTGTATCCAATAAATTGTAATATGTTAAACCTTGAAGAAAAACCTCTCCTGACCTTTTTTATTGAACACGCATAGAATTGATTAATTATTCCAACACTTTGTAACTAATTACACAAACCCTGCTAAGAACAGTATTTGAATTGAGATAACCAATGTTTAAAAACAAGCAGCTCAGAAACACCAACTTTACAGAAGGTCCAAATGTTTTGCAACATTATTTATAAGTCATTATTAATAATTGCATATCTGCTGAATTAATAATTTTACCTCAAGGATCTTGGCCAACCTCTTGCTGTTTTTGAGCTCTAATGAGGCTTTGTATATGCATTCATACGCAGCTCTCATTTCTTCTGTTTTCTCCTGCACAGTGGTCTTAAAAAGAAGACTCCTCAGTCTGGTTTTATACTCAGGAACTAGTAGCATCTGTAGAGCAAGCGCAAAAAAAAGCATTAATGTTTACATTACATTATTACATTAATAATTTGCAATTGGAAATTCTCTGCAAACTAAACAGCGTCCAGCAGCAAATCTAGTTCCTTCCTTATAGCATTGCACTATTTTTGCTAAGCACCCTCAGGAAAGGGATGCAAAAATGTAGGTACATACATCTGACTACAGTATATTAGGTACTTCTGACAGTAGAAATGGAAATAAATGTGTGCTGTACTCAACCGTACCACTCAGTGGAAACAAGATAATAGCCATAGGCTACATCTACAGTCACTCATATACAATTTAAAAACATATTTTCCTCTATGTTTTGACTTTCGGTCCTCTCTAAAGGTGGATTACGTTTTTTTACAGACGCTAGGACACATTTCTCAATACTTAGGTCACTTTTGTAAAACTCTTCACACAAATCTCCTAACCGACTTTTAGCTTCGCAAAGCAGTTCATTTTACATTCAAAACTACTAAAACACTTTATTCAGGTCTTAAATAAACTCATTTTTCCAGAACACTAGCAAATGTTGACAGCCGACAAGCACACTTTGTCACCCACAAAACAATGACCTAAAAAGACTAACAACATGTAACATTACACATTACACTTCTTGTGTAAAACAAGGACACATCGCTGTTTATAATTGCAATATATATTGTTTATAACTGCAATATATGTTCCTGGGTTGAATCAGATATGATGCAGAATTCATTAATATTTTATGTGTTTATGTATTTATTTTAATTTAAAAAATTGAGTATTGAGTCATTTTAAAATACAAGAATTTATATACACACCATCCACAGATACAGATACAATAGTAATGCTAATCTGGATGATTAAACTGCATTTTTAGATTTTTTAAAATATGTTTCAATAAACTATTGCTGTTGAATTTTGCTGTCTTATTTTGTTTTGCATTATGCTATTGTTTTGAACATAAGTCTAACAGTTTTAAAAACTGTATGCAAGCATGTGCAAAATGTCCTGTACATACCAGATTGGCAGTTGTTCTGTCTGAGTGAGAAAATAATTCATGAAATTTGAGAGATGTGGTCATTGAATGCATTTTGTGCCAAAACAATGATATTTGATCCTCAGTTTAGCCCACATATTTTTGTTGTGCTCACTGTGTGAAGAGCTTTGCGAAAGTGACCCACTGTAGGTATTGAGAAATGTGTCTTAGTGTCTGTAAAAAAACTGTAATACAACAGAATAATGTAAGAACTTGATATCTTTATGTCTTGTCTTCTTGAAAATGCTTTAGAATGGTAGCAAGGATGAACAGTGTTTTAACACAGCACTCTACACTGACTTTTTAAATGAAAAAAAAAATTAAGAGAACAGGCAATAAATAATAGTTTTCTGACATAACTGTAAAAAGCAGTGCACTGTATGCACATAAATCACTAACTTTTTTTCCTCCAAAGTTTAGGAGTAAATTTTGATGGAATTTATCATAACACAAGACTCTCTTAGCTGACTACAATGTAGACCCACAAAACCTCACTGTTAGGTATCGTACATTACATTATTACAAGTGTAGGCACATTTGGGAATTGTAGTTTATAGTTTAAATCAGTTGCACCAGTGAGCCTGAATATATTTTCACAATAGAAGTATTATTTTCAGACTGAAATAGACTGTAGAGGCTTGTGAAACACAACATGTTTATGAATTTGGGGGCAGAGTATTTTTTGCATAGGTGAGTGTTCATTGTGAATCTGGACTACAAAAACAGTCATACGTGCCATTTTTTTTAAAAATAGAGATGTATTCTGCCAGGGATTGGGCTGAGTCAAAATGGTAAAGGATTCAAGTGCAGCTTACTTTTAACAAAGTAATCCAAGTGATATCAGACAAGGCATAATTAAGAAAAAACTCCAAACTCCAAAAATACTTGAACGGATAAGAAACAAAATAACAAAACAAAAATGACTCACGACAGAAAGGCAGGGGTAACGTAATACAAAAGCAACATAAAGACAAATGAAACACTTAAAGACACACAGAACTAAACAGGATATTGAAGCGCAGCTGAAATCAATACACAAATCAAGAAAGCAAAGGAACATGGGATTTGGAGTTTGCAGAAAACAATGTCCATATGCAGTGTCTAACATGGGCACTGCAGGCCAGGGTATACATGGGTTGCTAGGATGGGACAATATTTAACCAAAATACAACCGTTTGGAAATCTGGAATCTGACAGTTCAGTTTAAATAATACACATTTAAAGTTGTCCAAATTAAGTACTTAGAAATGTGCATTGCTAAATGTACAAAACATCATGGAAACTGTTCTTTACTTAACCCTTATGTGCTGTTGGTAATGTTTTCGTCCACTATGGGGTGATTTTGTGTCTTAATTTGGTCATAACATTTTCTTTTTCAGCTAGCAGAATGATTTTACGTGACAAGTTTTATTTTGACACATATTTTGAGAAAATGCTTTGAATTTTTAATAAAACTCAACAATACACTCCGGGCAAAACTACTAAATTTTTTAGAAAATTAAAGGATTTGTACTTTAATTGCCAAATTCATCAATTATGCCAATTTGTTGTTACCAATCATTCACATGTCCAATACAAAAAAAAAACAGTCCTCAACTACTTTTCATATTGAAAATACGTCATTTTGTAAGTTTTTTTTTTTCATCATTTGTGAACTTTGCAATTAACAAGTTAAAATTCTGTAATTTTCTAAGCAACTTAGTAGTTTTGATCAGGACTGAAGTTGATTAACCGATTTATGTAAAAAAAATGTAAAATATATATTTATCTGATGCATTTTTACCGCAATTTTAACTCAATGGATGTTTTCATCCCGAACATAACAAAAGGATAGTAAATTTGAACAGTGCACAGGGGTTAACATTTGAATTATTCTGGCTTAAAATAAAATTTAAATATTTGGCTACTGACAAAAATGTGCAACATGAAACTACTTTTGTGGAGTTGATTTCAAATATTAACAGAACTCAACACTAAACTGCTTTAAACTCAAGTAAAGAAGCACCTGTAGGACGAACTGGTCGGGTTCGCTGAGTTTAGCAGGGTCCTGGTCGTAATGCTGAAACTGTTTGACCTCTTCGTCATCGGGAGCGTAGAGCAACAGTTGTTTAATGTGTGCGGGCTCCAGACGCTCAGTGCTCATGGTCATGAGGATGTCCCGCAGCTCTTTCGGGGCCAGCTTCAGATGCGCTATGAGGATCGCTGAACAGACCAGCCAGAAGTGATAAGACATGAATTCTTTACTTAAAATGCCACACAGTCGCTACCAAAGCTAGTGTAGTTTTTATTTTGATACTAATTTGAACTTTGCTGTATATTTTAGTTTAGTTTTAGCTTGTTTTATTAATGGTTTAGTTAGTTTTATTTTAGTTTTTATTTTGTGAACACATTTGTTTTATATACAGACACTCAACGACCAATTTATTAGAAACACCTTACTAATACTGGGTTGGACCACCTTTAGCTTTTAGAACTGCCTTAATCCTTCATGGCATATATTCAACAAGGTACTGGAAATATTCCTCAGAGATTTTGGTCCATATTGACATGATAGCATCACACAGTTGCTATTGATTTGTCAACTGCACAACATGCTTTATTGGATTGAGATCTGGTGACTCTGGAGGGCATTTGAGTACAGTGAACTCATTCTTATTTTCAAGAAACCAATCTGTGTGCACTGACATTGGTACTAATAGGCCCAAAGTGTTGTAAGAAAATATCCTCCAGACCATTACACCACCACTAACAGCCTGAACAATTGTTACAAGACAGGAAAGATCCATGCTTTTTTGTTGTTGATGCTAAATTGTTGCAGCAGATATCGAGACTCATCACACCAGGCAATATTTTTCCAATCTTTTGTTGTCCAATTTTGGTGAGCCTGTTATAGCCTGTTTGGTGAGCTTGTTGTAGCAAATTGTAGCCTCAGTTTCCTGTTCTTAGCTGACAGGAGTGGCACTCGGTGTTGTCTTCTGCTGCTGTAGCCCATCCACCTCAAGGTTGGACGTGTTGTGCATTCAGAGATGCTCTTATGCATTACTGTTGCCTTTCTATTAGCTGGAACCAGTCTGGTTCTTCTCCTCTGACCTCTGACATCAACAAGGCATTTGCCCCCACAAAACTGCCGCTTACTGGATATTTTCTGTTTTTTTTTTTTTACCATTCTCTGTAAACCCAAGAAATGGTTGTTTGTGAAAATCCCAATAGATCAGCAACACTCAGATTAGCCTGTCTGGCATCAACAACATGCCACGTTTAAAGTCACCTTTCTTCCCCATTTTGATGCTGGGTTTGAACTGCAGCAGATCGTCTTGATCATGTCTACATGCCTAAATTCATTGAATTGCTGCCATGTGACTGGCTGATTAGATATTTGCATTAATGAGCAGTTGGAAAGGTGTACCTAATAAAGTGGCCGGTAAGTGTAGTTTCAGTATTAGTTTGAGTAATTCTAGTTTACCAGAGTTAACAGAAGAGTTTATTGCTTGCACAGCTTACATTAACACTTGTGCAAACCTCTTTGGTTTTGACATTGATTTCAAAACCATACAAATATAAGTACAAATGGTGAGGAATCGTCTTCATATTAAAGAACTTGTTGTACCGTATATGTAGTTAAACATGGCTAGTTTACTTTTAAACTAAAATATAGAAGATATATAGTTTTATGTTATGCTAAACTGGTTGTTTTTGAATATAACCATGCTCTTGACTGTTTGTTTGCAATAGTCCATCTACAGATCAGCAGCAGGTCTTATTAATTTTAAAAAACAATTATAATTCAGATGTTAGTTTTATTTAGTTTTCTATTTATTGTGATTTGTTTTTAGTCTGTAAAATTTTAGTAAATGATTAAACTAATTACCCAATAGTTTTATTCTAAGTTTTCGTTTACTAAAATAACCTTGGGTCACTACACCAGCAAATACCTCTTAAACCAGGCATGTCCAAACTACGGCCCGGGGGCCATCTGCGGCCCGCAATTAGTTTTTTGGCGGCCCGCGAGGCTTTTTATAAAAACCATTAGAATCTGGCCCGCTACACAAAAAATGAACGTAATTCAATAAATAACCACCGGGTGTCGCTATTACACGCATTCAATTAAGCAGCAGTTCTTGTTATGATCTATCTATCTATCTATCTATCTATCTATCTATCTATCTATCTATCTATCTATCTATCTATCTATCTGTCTGTCTGTCTGTCTGTCTGTCTGTCTGTCTGTCTGTCTGTCTGTCTGTCTGTCTGTCTGTCTGTCTGTCTGTCTGTCTGTCTGTCTGTCTGTCTGTCTGTCTGTCTGTCTGTCTGTCTGTCTGTCTGTCTATCTATCTATTAAATTTATGATTTATTTCTTCTTTTTAAAATATTTCCCAAATGATGTTTAACAGAGCAAGGTAATTTTCACAGTGTGTCTGATAATATTTTTTCTTCTGGAGGAAGACTTTGTTTGTTTTATTTCGGCTAGAATAAAAGCAGTTTTTAATTTTTTATGAACTAAAATAAATTATTTTTTATTAGCCCCTTAAGTCTTGAGTCTTGAAATTTACAGAAATTTACCGTAAAATAACATACATTAAATTACAGAAATTTTCTTAAATATAAATTTCTGTAAATCAACCTGTTATTTTACAGTACATTTCTGTAATTCAACCGGCACCCCAGCTGTCGGAAGTAAACCATAAAATTAAAGATTTTTTTACAGTGTATAATGTTGGATCGCAAGATAATGTGTCTGGATTAATATGTTATTTTATGTTAAGTTAAAGATATTTTTAACACATAAATATACCAAGTAAAACTTACTGATGGTGAAATGAACATTTCTGAACCAGTGATCCGTTTTACTCAATTGTATCAGAGAAAGGTTCGTTACTCGAACAAACCATTGTTGCCTAATTAACTTGCCTAATTACCTTAATTTGACTAGTTAACTTAACTAACCCTGTTAAGTGTTTAAAAGTCACTTTAAGCTGTATAGAAGTGTCTTGAAAAATATCTAGTCAAATATTATTTACTGTCATCATGGCAAAGATAAAATAAATTAGTATCTAGAAATGAGTTACTAAAACTATTATGTTTAGAAATGTGTGGAAAAAAATAGTTCTCTCCGTTAAACAGAAATTGGGGAAAAAATAAACAGGGGGGCTAATAATTTAGGGGGGCTAACAATTCTGACTTCAACTGTATATATATATATATATATATATATATATATATATATATATATATATATATCTATATATATATATATATATATATATATATATATATATACACACACACACATTTATATATGCGTGTCTGTGTGATGTATGTAAAATTTGGCCCGCGACAACGTTTTTTTTTTTGCATCTGGCCCTCGGCCCAAAAAGTTTGGACACCCCTGTCTTAAACCATCTCCTACACATCGACGTCACAAGACAAGACATCAAACCTGACTCAAGCCAGAGTTAAGTCTAGATGATTACACTCCAACACAACTCTGCGCATACTCACAGGCATTGTAGGCCTTTTTATGGGAGAGAATCTCAACCACGTCTTTCTTTTTTAAGTTCTCGGGCAGGAAGGTGGGCTCTGGAAGAGAGACTGACACATTTAATAACAGTGTAAGGATGAGTTCTGCTCGCACCAGAAGTGGAGACAATAAATGGAGGGTTATGAGGCTGAAAAGAAGCTGTGAGATGCCAATAACTGGATGGGAATGATGGGATCTGAGACAGACATAGATCCCCATGAGAGATGAGCTGAAAAGTACAAAAATAGACAAGGTAATTTTGCAAAGTGACAAAATGGATGACACATACGGATGAAGACAGCAACAATAACACTCATAAGATTATTTTCCTAAAAATGTTGCCCCCATATTCATTTTATACACATTTTTTCCTATTATATTATATTATATTAAATTATATTATATTTACATGACATGCACGTAAATAATATATACAGTTTTAAAGCTAAAAGATTTTGCTAAAAAAATGTACAATGTGATATGAATGTACATTTTAATGAAATAAATAATTTATTATTATTATTATTATTATTATTAATATATTTTAAGTAAATGCTATTATTTTGAACATTCGAGATAAAAAAATATTTTTAAAAAATCAAATCAACATATCAGAATGATTTCTGAAGAACTGGAGTAATGATACTGAAAACTGAAAACTTACCCTAATAACATTGAAACACATTAAAATAGAAAGTAGTTATTATTGTGGTTTAGAAAACTGTTTTAAAAAACATAAATTGTTATTAAGTAATATTAAACAAATATATTAAATAGTAAGTACAATTATGTTAGATTTAATAAATAATTTAATATTTAATAAACTAATAAACTACAGACACATGAAAATTGTGTGTTTTTGGTTTGTGTAAAATGACACTTCATAAGATTTCATAGGTTCATTTGATTCTGGTTGATGATCTGCAGGTATTCAATGCAAAAATGCTGAAAAACTGTAAAAAGGGTCTTTTAGAAGGCTTTTATCACAGCACAGTATGAAAAGAGATGATTATATGCACATGCAATATCACACTGAACAAGCTATAATGAAAAAGAACTCACTGGAATTCCTCTGTGTGCCAAAGTACAAATCCAGATCCAAGTACTTGACCATGTCACTGAGTTTATGATAGTCCGGATCATCTCCAAGCTAACAAACAAGACAAAAAAAAACATCTCAATCTCAGTAACAGATCTCTACATGACCTGTACTTAAGCACTGCTCACACCAACATCAACAACTAACAATAAATAATCTACAGACTGTGTTCCAATCTGAGGGGCTCATCATCTGCCCTAACCAGAGTGAGAGATATAAAGGGATTAGGTGTGGCTTTTCATCTGCATCATAAATTAAACTTGTTAAAATCATAACGAAGAAGAAAGTTTAGTAAATCAGTTAGTACAATTAGGGTTTTAGTTGTACACTTCCAAATCATTTCAAAGGGCCTACTGAAGATGTTAGTTTTGGCCACTTGGCGGCAATGATACCTCTCTTTAAAGTCCCTTTAAGGTCTTAGTCTGTTATCTCAGCAGCCACTATTGAAATGAATGAGGAAATCATGAAATCCTAAAGAAATGCTAGCAGAACTTGCAATTAAAATATATATTTAGCAAAAACCTATGAACTATCTGTTTATTGTTCTTGCGTAGGCACTAATTATGTTTAAAACATGTTATTACCGTGGGCGACACGGTGGCTCAGTGGTTAGCACTGTCACCTCACAGCAAGAAGGTCGCTGGTTCGAGTCCCAGCAGTTCAGTTGGCATTTCTGTGTAGAGTTTGCATGTTCTCCCCGTGTTCATGTGGGATTCCTTTGAGTGCTTTCCTCCCACAGTCCAAATACATGTGCTATAAGTGAATGGAATAAGCTAAATTGGTTGTAGTTTATGTGTGTGAATATGTATGGAAGTTTCCCAGTACTGGGTTGCAGCTGGAAGGGCATGCGCTGTGTAAAACATGTGCTGGATAAGTTGGCAGTTCATTCCGCTATGGTGACCCCTGATGAATAAAGGGACTAAGTTGAAGGAAAATGAATGAATGAATGAATGAATGAATGTATGAACGAACATGTCTTTCCAGCGACTGTCCATGCACACATTGGTATGACATCAGTTTCATTTTACCATTGTTTAATGGCTTTATAGTAGTTTCGAAGGATGCGGTACCAAACACTGGAAGAACAGAGGCAGAACCTGGGGCAAAGACCACAGGATGACACTGAAAAAACATGATATGTGATGGGGTGAGATAGTATTTAAAGCATTGTTTAATGAAGCTTTAAACCAGTGATTCCAAGTGTATATAAAACCGGTAAGGTCATGTTATTTCACAAAAGGGGGCACTTTTTAAAAATTCAATGGCTCTCGATTTAGGGGAGATCTGTGTAATACTATAAACCTTGATGAATCATGCAGGACCATGCAGGATCAGTTTAACTTGTTTGTATATGTTAAATGAGACATTTGTAAAACAAAAAAGAAATTACATTTGTTAATAGTCTCTTGCTACCCTGTTTAGCAGGGCCCTTAATAGAAAAAAAACAATATACGCATTGACAATGTATGCATTATTTTTGCACTAAACATATCTGTCATTGTTTCATTCTTAGTAGTACGAGCCATGATCATTGTGTTGACTGCATTTAATTAGCACCAAAATTAGCCCGTGCTTATGCTATTAACGAAATGAAAGTATTGACAATGCATTTGTTTTCCACTAAAATTAGTCATTGGTAATGTTCCATTGTCTTTGCAATGTGTTATGAGCGGTCAAACAGCATGTGTATATATATGTTTAATAATAAATAGCAAATCGTGGCATTCTGCTAAACATCTTGTGTTTCATTGATGACATCGACTTGACTTTAATAGCTTTTTTAAACCTTAATAAGTCGACTTTAAAAAAATCTAAAATCATTCAACCTCTACTCTCTCCTAGTATACTCAGTCCATACAGCTTACAAAGTATACTCAACTGTGGATAAGAGAGGGCAGCAGAGTTAACAGTTCGTATACATTATTCCACGTCACTCGCTCCATTTGAGTGCATTGTGTATGACATTGCTTTGCTGAGTGATTCAATCTCAGCTTGCATCAATAAAGACTGCATCCAGATACTATTGCATTTTTCATGCTACTTCAATTTAATGTGCTGTAAAATCTAGATCCTGAAAATAAATAGGTTCACAACAGGTGCAGTATCACCTAGTGGTCAGTTTGTGGCTGCACTAATTTACTCGGACCAACAATGCAGACTTCTAATAAAACATATTTCTGTCCATCACAAAGACATTGAACAGACCATCCTGGACTGTAGATGGCTGAAGTATACTTCGGACTCTAAATGCAACCAATGACACTGCACAAGATTAGACATTTAAGCTACACTTACAGTCCATTTTACAATCTTGTTCATTCAATAACTACAACACAGCACCTGTAGTTATACTATTTATCATTCTTGTTGTGAAGAGAACAGACTTGGTGTGAACAGAACTTAAGCACTGAGTTGCTATGCACACTATGGGTCTTATTTAACACCACCGACCTGTCCCCAGATAGTTCCTTCAGAGTTCTCCACCTGCTCCCAGCGCAATCTCTTCACACTCATGTGATTGTTGTCAGAGGCTTTCGGACTGGGTTTGGGTAAAGGTGGAGGATCACAAGGTGGGGGTAGAGGAGGAGGTGGAGGAGGGGGAACCTTGCTTGACAGTGTGCCTTCAAAGCTTTGTTGAGAAGGTTGGGAATGGAGGCTTTTCTGTTTGGTCAAGCTGGGGGAGGTTCTGGGAACAGTAGTCTGCTGGCTCTGGTAAATGGATTGGCTGGGGTGTTGGAGGCGAGTGTGTTGTGCACTTGTATGCGGGGGTTGAGGGGAGGTGTGTGGGGATGACTGTAGGATGGGATGAGCCTTCGGTTGGTGTAACTGGAGAATAGGTTGACTGCTCGGCTGGGGTGAAGAGCGTCGGGGATGGCTGTGTTGAGCCCTGAGCTCCTCCCTGGTGGGCAGAACCTTGTGTAGTGAGGGGCGGTTGGCAAGGAAGGGGCGAGGTGGAGGTGGTGGTGGGGCTATAATCGGATGGTGCTGAAAGGCTGGGGGAGGTTGGGGCAGGTGCTCTGGGGTGATGGGAAGGGGAGAGGGTGAGTCTGTGAACTGAAGGGGAGGTGGTGGAGGTGGAGGACTCTGTGGTGGAGGAGGGATGTGGTCAGAGCCGGAGGAGTAGGACACTGAGGTGGAGTCGTCACTGCTGCTGTGGTCTTCACTGCTGGCACTGCTTAACTCGTGAGGCAGCATGTTCACTTCCTGTTCATCCTGGAAACTCATCTGTCAGACACAATGGCACATACATGTGTAGTAAAAATTATTAGCCCCCCTGTGAAATTTGATTTCTTTTTCAAATATTTACCAAGTGATGTTTATTAGACAGAAGACTTCATGAACACATTTTTAATTTAATAGATTTAATAATTCATGAATAATAATTATTTTCTTTTGTCATTTAGTTGATGACAGTAATTACATTTTTCTAAAGATACTGGTATTCAGGTTTAAGTGCAAGGTTAGGTTAATTAGGCAAGTCACTGTATAACTGTGATTTGTTCTGTAGACAATCAAAAAGATTACCCTAAGCTTACCTTACAAGATTACCTTGTAACACAGATTTCTTCATGTAAACAACATACCCACAATAAACCATCAAGATCCTGGCTTGACAGCCATATTTATTACAGAAATTAAAACACAGGCATGTTAATGACATTTAAATTTCAAAACAATCAATGCCAATAAAGAAAACATTGATTTCCATGTTGGGTTCTAAGTGGACTGCAAAAAAATGCCAAAATAGAGGAATTGCAGATATGGAAAATGAAAAATTATAATAATAAACTATAGAATACAAACTGCTGCACTCATTGTAAAGTTTTATTGCTGTGAGTTGAGAACATTAATTATAGAGTAGAAACAATTTTGCTTAATCCTCCTTTACATTCATCCAGTTGCTAGGAGTATCCCACAAGTGCACAGAGACTCCCAAATGCCCGCAAATGAATGATAATTTCTTGCAAACCGGTCGTTAAATACATTGCACACCCCTCTCGCCCCTACTCAGATACGTCGCTCAACAGGCCTGACACAGACACACACAGACAGACACACACACACAACGCACTGCAGACGTTTTGGCCCCAACGGCCTTTCATACTGGAGCGACTCCCCTCAGATTCAACACGCATGATCACATTCATCAAATTTGCTTAAACTAAGCGTCCTAAAGTATTACTGTATTTCACAAGGATTCTGACACAACAACACGAAGCATACGCTTTCGTTGCGTTTAATGAGGAAACACGCTAAACTTGGAGGGCGCATGCTGAAAGGCAGAGTAATGCCCTGTTTTTGACAGCTCGCAACTTCACCGGACAACAATACTCCGATTTTAATATGATTAAGATTATACTCTTATTAAAAGTCTACCGTGTAGCCTTAAAAGGAACCTTACCTTAAAGCAACACCGAGTCACGAAATGTGGAGGATTTTCTTTCTGTTCGCCATGCGTATCAACTTACAACAGATGTCGAAAGTTAAAAATGAAACACCCGACATTGCATGAAACTCTGGATAACCTGTGATGCAACTAATTGTTTTATACTGGAACTTGCCTTCAAAAAGTGCTTCCTTGGTCTTATCCACATTTATTGCATGCTGAACACACGTCCACCAAAAGCGGAAGTAAAAAAAACCTGCAACTGCGTTAATTGCGTAAATTTTTTTTTTACACGTTAATTATTTAAAATTAATCGCATGCGTTAACGAGTTAATTTTGACAGCGCTAATATATATATATATATATATATATATATATATATATATATATATATATATATATATATATATATATATATATATACATACATACATACATACATACATACATACATACATACATACATACATATATATATATATATATATATATATACATATATACATACACATACATACATACATACATACATACATACATACATACATACATACATACATACATACATATACATATATATATATATATATATATATACATACATACATACATACATATATATATATATATATATATATATATATATATATATATATACATACATACATACATACATACATACATACATACATACATACATACATACATACATACATACATATACATATATATATATATATATATATATATATATATATATATATATATATATATATATAGGATTTAAATAAAGCAGGGACATTTGATGAATGATTAAATGATGAATTTAATCCATTTTGGAATAAGGCTGTAACATAAAAACTGCAAAAAGTGAAGCGCAATGAATCCTTTCCTGATGCACTGTGTACAGTATATACTTTTTTTTTTATACTTTTTATATACTTTTTTTTATATTTTTCTATAACATATTTATATAAGTATATGTACTGTATATAAGATATAAAATAGTATAAGAAATATGAATATGTCCTTGCTCTGTTAAACATCACTTAGGAGGTATTTGAAAAAGAATGAAAACTCAAAGAAGGGCTAATAAGTTTGCCTTCAACTAAAATAAAAAAAAATGATAAAATAATAAAATAAAATAAAATAAAATAAAATAAATAAATAAAATAAAACATATGTTTGGAGAACAAATGGGGGAAAACACTGGAATAAAATGCACACACCTCCTCATAGTCATTCTCTCCGCCCTTGAAGTCATCCACAATATTAACTCGGTGACCCAGCTGCTCGCTCAGGGCATCCAGAAACTTGTCTGTGTCTCTGCTGCGAGGTGGACGTGAGAAGGTGAATAGCTTTCTGCGCTGGGGCAGAGGACTGAGTTCATCAGAAGGCAGAGGAGAGGCAGGGGGGCTGTCCAAACTGACATAGGGATTAGAGTCCACACTGTCTGGAGAAGCAACAGTCTGCTGGTAAGTCTCAAACTGAGGCCCAGGAAAGGAATCAGTCCATGTAAGCGAGAGGCCTGACTTACGGTTCCCTGCAAAAAATTAATTCAGTCCAGAGAATGGTTTATAGCAGGAATTCAATGAGATATGTTATTAAATGTTCTAAATGGTTCTAACTTAAAAAACCATAGAACTATAACATGCTGATCATTTACTTTTTTGGGGTTTTCAAACTTCTTTGCCAAGGCCCTCGTTTATTTTAGTGTTGTACTTACGGTAACCACAGTTACTAATTTAGCTTTCCCTGAATGCTTTTTTTTAATTCTCAAAATGATAGTAATAATTATTAATAATAATAATAATAATAATAATAATAATAATTCCTTACATTTCTAGACCCTCAAAGCGCTTTCCACAATGGGGGAATCTCCTTATTCACCACCAGTGTGCAGCATCCACCTGGATGACATGACAACAGCCATATTGCACCAGACCGCACACCACACACCAGCTGATTGGTGGAGAGGAGACAGGATGATAAAGTCAATTATCATATGGGAATAGTTAGGAGGCCATGATGGACAGAGGCTAGTGGGCAAATTTGGCCAGGATGCCAGGGTTAAAGTCCTACTCTTTGTCGAAGGACATTCTGGGATTTGTAATGACCACAGAAAGACAGAACCCGATTTAATGTCTCATCCAAAAGACGACGCTCACTTAGCAGTGTAGAGCCAGTAGCAGGCAGAGCTTGGCATTAACACCTGCCAGCCCGCTAAATGCAGGTAGATTTTAGCTGTGGTAGCTTAAACAGACACCCACACTAGCCACACTTTGGCTGGTTGAAAACTATTTTTAAACTGCCAGAGCTGCCTCGTCTATAAAGACTAGAATTTTAGTTTAAGAACGTTTGTCAATTTGCGTGCAAATGTGCTCTTAGAACCGAGAAGATTAATAACTGTTCGCACAAGCAAAGGAAAGCAGGTAAATAGCAAATGAGAGGATGATCAGGCACACGGTGATGTTGTGAGCGAGGAACAGCTGATGTGATGCGGACAAGTGCTTAAAAGCTCCTGTTTCCTTATGCTAAACAACCGTCCTGTTTCCGTTGCTAAACGCAACTGGTGCCATCATTTCCCTTTGAAATAGGTTGGAAAAAAGCAGTGTTTGTGCACCCACATATCTCCAGATTTGTTGTATGCAGCAGCTGTTGCTGCTTTTGCTTTAATCATTCTTTGAACAGATTATTACTGGGCCTAACATTAACCGTGTGCAAGTGATCATCCTTTCAATATCGCACACAGAATGTTTTTCACCTGCTTTCATTGCTTGCAGTCATTTTTGTTAATATGGTTTAATTATCATCCTTTACAATAAAAATTTTTAATATAAAATTAAATTTCCATTTACCTACAGTACCTTTAGCCTGGAAAAACTACTGTGTATCGTTTTAAATAAATAAGAAAATTGTCAGTTGTTGTTTTTTTTAAGAAAATTTTTTTGTTGAATAAAAAGTATTTGTACACAGCTATATTTGGCTAATTATATTTGGTAATTTTAGCATGCCAACGTCTAATTTGTGCAAATATATTCTTCCAACAACATAATTGTGGCTAGTATAAATGGCGAGAGACATGGGAAAACTACTAGTAGCCATAGTGGCTAGTGATCAAAAAAGTTAATGTCAAGCCCTGGTAGTAGGCAATGTGTTTAATTCATTAAATGATATTTCAGTTTGTTAGAAATCTTTTTTTTAAACATTCGACCAAAGAAAAAAAAAACAGTTATAAATATCTTGGATGACCTAAGAGTAAATTAGTAAATTAAGTAAATTAGCAGCTAAAAAGAAAAAAAATGAACATTTAATATTTTTTCCCTGCATAATAATTGCATCCAGATTTATTTTCACTAAACTAATATTTAAATGAGTGTTTTTTTTAGGCTGTCTGCGGTCACATTTGTATTTTTTTGTGTGTCAAACTTTATTAGCAATCTGTGGAATCAGACGTTTTGCATTCTCCTTTTAAATTTACTGCATTGTCCAGCATAAATCTGCTTGGTTTTAAAGTGTCTTTTTTTTATATATATCGCTACACTGTTGACAACTGCATGCAAAATATAGCTGAATTTATGCTTATGTGAAGGCTTAAATTGTCTTCTTTTTATAAACCTAATGTTTTCAAATAATATAATTATGTTTAATAATTACCAAGTGTTTTTTTAGAAAGTAGAGGAAAGGAGTCATAATGCCAAGAAATGATGCATACAACGTTTAATTAATCTTATTAAGACCCCCTGTGGTAAAAATAATCTTGTTTTTTAATGTTGCTTACAAGTCTATGTGCTGTTTCTTGTCAATTTAATCACCATTTCAAATTTGGCATTATACAAAGTCATAATTTTCAAGTTTTACTTGGTAAACTACTGTTAATTAGAATCAGAATCAGAATATTGGATGCTCATTAAAGGCATTTATTTGCAGAAAATTATGGAGAGATATTCCAAGTTTAGATAATTGGAAAACATGCATATATACATAGTTTACATACTGTATAAACATACAAACAACAAATATTTCAAATACTTTCTGCAAATAAAAGCCTAAATATTAGTTAAATATTATTTAACATTCACATTCTCTGCACTTTATAAAATAATAAATTACCATTTACTCAAGAGCAAATACTTACTAATGAACTAATAACTAATAAGTGGTTTGTTCATTTTCTCACATCAGTATACACTGAATGATACTTACATATTCTTTCTCTTCTCCTAAAGACTCAGTTTCTGGTTGAAAGACATACAGGAAGCCTGAATTCATGCAATATAATGCCATTGTGCAGCATTACCCCTAATGACCCATTGTGGCTCCCCAGTTTGAAAACCCCTGAGTAAAATCTTAAGTGATCTAATAAGCAAGCACATTTAGTGTCAAATGGTCCTGCACAGCCATTATGGTGATATCTGTCATTATAATATTAGCTGCACGTCCCGTTTCTGTATGCTGACTGTCAGAGTGAGCTGAGAGTACCTGCGGTGCTGTGTGTGAAAGACTGAGTGTATGTATTGCTCTCAGCGAGGCCCATGCCAGCAGCCCTGGGTGATGAGTGACTCTGGAGAGACTGGCTGCTCTTCACAGGATACACGTTCCCGAGCTCTGTGTAAACTCCTGTCATCTATAGGGTGGGGTGTGAATTAGGCATGATTTCATAACAGCAGTGATGACAGTGGAATTAATTGACTTATCAGTAAGCCCCTCCCCTTGATATACAGCTGAGTGTCAGCCAAGCCATTGGGAGTTGAGTATTAGATGAGCAAATGAAATTTGAGTATCAGATGAGCCTATGGCAGTGGAGTATCAAATTACCCAATAGCAGTGGAGTATCAAATGTCCCAATAGCAGTGTAGTATCAAATGAGCCAATGGCAGTTGTCTATCAAATGAGTCACTGACAATATAATGTCAAATGAGCCAATGGAATTTGAGCATCAGATGAGCCAATGGCAGTTGAGTACCAAACAAGCCATTGGCAATTTAATATCAGATGAGCCAATGGAAGTTGACCATCACTTGCTCAAGGACTGAAACTTGAAAGCTGTGTCTGAAATCGCATACTACTCATGTATAGGTACTAAATTTGAATTTGAAAGTACTTTCAGACCTTTAAAACTTGGGACACACCAAGACGGCATCAAAAAAATAGCACAGACAAAAAAACAACTGTGTTGTTGCCTTACATTGATGTCTGATCCATATCTGCATATCTGTTTTTACATTTCCATTTTATTTTGTAGACAACCACCGCTCCCTTTCCTCCATCCCCTCCCACCCGGTAGCAACAACAGCAGTAGTAGACACCTCACACTTTTCTCACGCTTTTTTTTTGGTTGATGAAAAACCAGAGTGCTGTCACTTGCCGAAGAATAATGCAAATTCTACATGCTGAATCGAGCCAACTCAATTGTTTTTCACATAGTACAGTTCATAGTGGGGAAGTATGTAATTTAGACACATCGAAACATCATTAGGTTTTAGCACCATAAAGAAACATAGTAAAATCCAATATATAGTCTTATGCTCAAATTTGGGCACACCTCTGTGGCTGCATAATAATGTGCTCTTTCTTTATAAGAGAAGATCGCTATGAAATGCCATTCTGTTTCTAGAGAAAGCTAAATAATGTCCTGTTTTTCAGACAGAAATCGGTAGTGTAACGGTATGAAGATGTGTGAAATTATATTGAAACTGAAAAATAGGCTATGCAAAAGTTTGGACACCCTCTCTTTGTGTGGATTTCAAACCTGTAGTCACTTAATGCTGATTGATTATAACACAAATTGATCTGAATGGCTCAGTGAACCTTAACAATCCTAACACAGGTGCAGCCAATCATTAAAAAGGATATTTAAGAAAGCTGATTGCTAGTTGTGCTTTTCCTTATTGTGAACCAGAAAGTAGAAACATGGGAACCTCAAAAGAACTTCCTAATGTCATAAAAGCTAGGATAATTCACCAACATGAATTAGGAGAAGGATGTAAAAAGCTGTCACCAAGGTTTAAAGTCTCTATCTCCACAGTCAGAAATATAGTAAGAAAATGGAAGGCCACAGGAACAGTTGCTGTGTGGGTGTGTGGCAAGCACAGGTACTAGTTAAAGGCCGCATTGATTTCACACAGTATCAGCAGATTCTTAAGAGCAATGTTCAGGAATTAGTCAAGTGGCTGAAGTTACAGCAAGGTTGGATGTTTCAACAGGACAATGACCCAAAGCTCAGTTCCAGATCTGCCAAGGAATACCAGTCCCCATCCCAGTCCCCAGACGTGAACATAATAGAAAATCTATGGATTGATTCAAAAAGAACCGTTCATGCTTGGCACCAATTATGCTAGAAAGAATGGCCAGAGACTTATCTTTGGTTAAAAGAACCATAAACGGGATGTTATTTCAGCAAAAGGTGGCTTTACAAAAGATTGACTTTGGGGTGCCCAAATTTTTGCACCTGTCTTTTTTTTGTTAAGACTTAAATTGCACTACATCTCTTGATTAAATAAATGTTGTCAAAACTGAAATGTCACTTATTCAGTAGGGTATAAAATATATCCAAATTAATTTGCTGATTTGAAAGGCCAGCAGGCTTTGGCTTGCAATTATGAAAATTATAAGGGGTGGCAAAACTTTTGCATTAGACTGTGTAAGCTCTCATTGGTTGGTCTCATTCACTAAAACCAATCATGACAACTTAACATCCAGAAAAATCAACAAGAATGTATACAGTTGTCTGAGGTAAGTAGAAGCAACAATGTTTTTAACTCTGATAATGCCACCACAAGTTTAATAGTAACACAGATTCTGCCTCTGTTAAGTTAGACTAACATTATGGCTTATGCCTTTTAGTGACTATCCATATTAAATTGGCTATTTGCTAAATTTAAATGTTTCATTTAATCTTTAATTTAAAAGTTGAAAGCATTAGTCAAAAGAAGACTTTTAGGATTGTGGGATATTTAAGGCAGTGAAGGGCACATCTGTTTTCTTTGAAAATGGATCAGACAAGAGTACCTACAAAGACAGGAAGTGAAGCAGAATTTTTGGATGTGGCTTGATGGCTTCCCGACTTGTAAGGCTCCCTCTAAGCCAGCATTTAGGAGCTTCTGACACAGCCATTAAGACAGCTCAAGTCTCTGTTTGTTTCTCCAAATTAGCAACAGTTACCAAGGTGGACGGGGCATACAGATAGGTCAATTGTGGATGAGCAGTAAATGGTACCCACGTGGCTGAGATCTGGGGACTCTGGGAAGGAAGTTCCATCCCCACACTGTCTTTCCTCTGGAGTCACGGGGTCAGTGAATGTTCCTGAGACACAGAGAGAGCTTTCCGGAAAACAGAAAAAGCTGCTTGCCCTTCAGAAACTAAAAGACAATAGACTTGAGGGCAGTCAGCAGGACGTCTGGATTGGCTGAGAGACTGTTTAAAGATTTTTACTAATAGATGCTGCTGGTGAATCATAAACATGACTGAGGACATGTTTGACTGATTGTTTACTCTGCAAGACTGACAGAATGGTATGGCTAGCTGAAGAAATGTTACAATGGAGCAATGTATAGCATAAACAGTGATTTACAATGCCTGGCCTAAAAAAGGTACTGTTTGAGTTCCAGTGAGGACAAACTTAAGAATCTATGATTTACTCTTTGCTGATGTGATTAATATGTTTCTGGCTTCTAGTTGGACTGTTAGAAATTATTTTAACTGATGCAGTGGGTTTCTTTTCCTTTCTTCAACAACTATGTCAGACCTTTTTCAGTATGACAATGCTAAGATTCACATTTAAATTTTGAAAGAAAGCTTCAGATTCACACATACACCAATTTACCTGAACGAAACTAAAACACTTGAGATGTTCTCTAGAAGACAGTGGTTCTCATAAGGGGGAAAAAAACTTTGTGACATTTCAACTTTTGAACTGAAGTGGTGGAAAGGTTAATTTTAGGCATTTTAAGTGAGCTATCTTTATGCTGCCAGAGTAACCTAATTTGCTCCTAAATATTGTTGTGGACGAAATATAGGTTAAATTATAATTATATTTGACAAAAGGTGCAGACAGAGATGCATTTAAAGTTGTATTTTGTGATTTTAACATGTATGGATTAATACAACCTGTTTATTTATATATTTAAAGTAAGCAGTTGACATGCGTATCTTGCCTCATTACAAACTTAGACACAACAAAAAGTTCACAATATGCATTTTAAACTAACAAAAAATACATTTAAACAGACATCATGTCTCTTCGGCTGAAATTGACTACATTTCTAATCTTGATATTGCACATTTTGCAGTCTGACTTGCTGTGAATATAGGGGGGGGGGGTCATTATAGTTATCTTACTAGGAAACATTGTAGTTAATCAAATGTTGCCTGAGGTGTGCATATTAATGATCCCATGCAGATTTTTAAAGTCTGTTTTGTTCCAATTTGCCTGTTTTTCTCTGTGATTTCACACTTACATGATTAACATGAAAACAATAAAACAACAGACTTTGAGGCTCAAGGTATCTCATTTCCACATACTGAACCCTTATTATTCAGCGAAGAATAGGTATATCCAGATTTTCATTTTGTGGCTTCTTAAGATGGTCACTACCTGAGAAGAACCACTCTATAAAGTCAACCTCAGCACATCTCAAGACTTTTAATTTGTGTTTAGATTAACAAATTATCAAATGGTTAATTCATGTGTAAGAACAAGTAAGACAAATCTTTGCATTATTGTCTTGGCAAGGGCTATTAGATTTGTCTTCTGATTTGGTTATTAAGAAATACAAAAGCCACACAGTGTATCAGATAAGGCTCAAACAAATGTTGTCGAATGTAAAATGGCAGAAACATATTTATCACTGCCATAAAATGTTTTAATAGGCTCTAAATTAAAGTAGTGCTTACTTTTTGGGCCAGGCAGTGTGTAAACTTATCAGTCGATATATACTTATAAAGCCTACTTATCTGTATGCATATACTTATAAAGCCTTCTTATCAGTCTATATACTTTTAAAGCCTATTAGTTTTAGATCATTACATCAACAGGGTCCAAAATGCAAAATCATCAAGAGTCATGCATCATGACTGTTATGCTCCATATGTAATGTTGCTGTTACATATGGATTAACAGCAGATTATAAAACGCATGATGCGGCCAAATATATATTTCAAATTAACTACAGTAAATACTGCCTTGGTGAGCGTAAGGAACTTGCATCTAAAAATGTAAAAATTAAACCAACCACAGACCATTTTAATAGTAATATATATTTAGATATAATGATTTACATACAGATAATATAATATAATATAATATAATATAATATAATATAATATAATATAATATAATATAATATAATATAATATAATATAATATAATATAATATTCTAAATGTTTAGTGAAGAAAAAGTTTATTTTGGATCCTGCTGATCAGTCAAATCAATTCACTGACAGGTGGAAAATGCCGTACCCATTCCAAGGTGAGTGCCAATAATGCAGTCATCAGAGCTTCTCTCTCTCACAGTGTTTTTGTGAGAGGTACCTGAAACCCGCATAGAGCTGCTCCGCCTGTGTGTTTCTGCACCCACCTCTGGTTCTGCAGTAAAAAAAAAAAAAAAAGCATTCAGGACAGAAAGCCACTAGAGGGCTGATGGTCACACAGTGAACTCATCATGGCTAACCTGCACTCTTGAAGCCCAGGAACCGGGCGATCTTGGTCTTGCAGTGCTCCTGCTCCTCGTAGGTCAGCAGTTGGTAAATGAACTGCCAGATCAGCTGTTTGGCTGGAGTATCCAGCACAGGAAACACATCCACAATGAGAGTGTCCACATTCCTGCTCACACACAAGATTAATGCTAATTAAAGCTAATGAATTAGAATTGTAATATCATTTATTTTCATAAATGTATTGTCCATTATGAGAGCAAAAATAGGTTATTCAAAATAAATAGAAAACAAAAAAGCAAGAGTACCCATTCTAAGATAATTTTTTAACCAACGCTCTTGAAATTTACATTTTCGTGACTTGTTTGCCTTAGCGGACAGGTACAGCTCGGTGGACACAATTGATTAAAAAAGTTTAAGTGCGGAAAAGGAATAAATTGCACTGAACAATAACCACAACAATATGCAAAATGTGTAAAACATCACGATAAAAACATGATGTGGTATAAAAAAAACTTCCCATGGGGACCCATGGGAATCCCGTAATAATTTATAGAAAATCATAGCTATAATGTTTATATCCACGCCTAATCTCAAATAGAGACTGAGTCAGCTTTGTATAAATGGATCCTTATCAGATTTCTAGGATTCTCAACAGCGGAAATCATCATAGTAAAGTAAGCTAGGTGAAAGGGAGAGTACAACAAAAACATTTAACAGACTTTCAGAAAAAAGAAAATATAGAATTTTATATATATAGTTACCTTAAACAATTTTTGTTGGCACAACATGAAGGAATTTTGTGAAACCAAACATTTTTTACAGTGTTGACGTTCAAACTGGACCCTAATCTTAACAAAAATGAAGATAATATGAAAAATGTTGGAAACCGGTAACCATTGACATCCATAGGAAAATACTATGGAAGTTTCAGACTTTTTCTATAGATCTTTCTAAAGATGGAACAAAAACAGAAAAAAATATGTCAAAAAAGTCAAAGGTGAGTAAATAATGCCAGAATTTTCATTTTTGGATGAACAATCTCTTTAACAAGCGAATTGTGCTGCTTTCTCAGCAAGCAGTCACGATGACGAACATTATTTATTAAATTCTGAAGAAGCCACAGATTGCTTCTGATTATGTGTATCTATTTGTGCTCGAGGCAGAAGCTATTTTTGAACGTTTCTCACACTTTCCTTGTTGCTGCCAAGCTGAAAGAAAATCCCACAAACAGTGCGCTATGGCATGTGTAATCATATGGAAGGACAGTAACAGAGATAATTAGCTCTGTATCCTATAATTGGCAAACGCATTCAAAATGTTTATTTCTCGTCAAGCGCTGCATTAGTCATTATTATACTAGATCACTGTATAGTCTAATTAAAAGAAATGCAGACTGTGCTATCTGTCAAAAGTTTGGAACTTAATTAATAATAATAATAATAATAATTCGTTACATTTATATAGCGCTTTTCTGGGCACTCAAAGCGCTTTACACAATGGGGGGGGGATCTCCTCATCCACCACCAGTGTGCAGCATCCACCTGGATGACGCGACGGCAGCCATTTTGCGCCAGACCACACACCACACACCAGCTGATTGGTGGAGAATCGTCTCTCTATTATTGTCTCTTTCATAAGACTCCTAAATTCTTTTATAAATATATTTATTCATTAATTTTCTTCATTTTCTAGTCCCTTTATTAATCTAGGGTCGCCACAGCGGAATGGACAGCCAACTTAATCAACATATGTTTTTATGCTTCTAGCTGAAACCCATCACTGGGAAACATAAATACATACCTACACTACAGACAATTTAGTTTACCCAATTCACCTATACCACATTTTTTTTAATTGTGGGGGAAACCGGAGCACCCGGAGGAAACAAACACGGGGAGAACATGCAAACTTGTCACAGAAATGCCAACTGACAGCCAACTGCCAGCTGAGGATCGAAATCAGCGACCTTCTTGCTGTGAGGTAATCGTTCTACCCTCTGCGCCACCATATATATTTATTTATATAATTAAATATAGTAAAAACATTTAATTTAAAACGGTTTTTCCTGTGATGGCAGAGCAGTTTTTTTTTTACTTTGATCTTTAAATGTCACAATTCAGCATTATTGCCATTTTATAACTATTCATTCTTATTCTTAATTGTAATTTTATAAATTGTTATTGCAGCTTAATCCTATTGTGGAAGTCATGATACATTTTTGGAACAGCATATTTTAAATAATTGAAAACATTATAAATGTAATAATGTAGTAAATGTAATGTATTATCCCTTTTAAATAACCCAATTCATTACTTACTGAAGGTTTTTACTTACACCCAAAACCTTTGGAGTTGTAGTGTATGAAAATAAAAAGTAATGAAAGTAAACTACTTACAGAAGTAAAACAAAATGATTAAGCAGCAAAATATTAATATTTGTAATATTTATGAAGGATCTTGTGACACTGAATACTATAATAATGCTGTATTTTACCATATTGTAATCTACAGAAATAGAAAACAGTATTTTATTTGCAAAAGTAACTTTTTTTTTTAAGTTTAGACCTGTATTTGAATAATGAACTTTGAAATCCTGGTTTTTGAAAAGCTTGTTTTATTCTGTGAATACTTGAAACTTGAAAAGACAATTTTTGTCATTTAGGGCATTGTTAGCCACAAAATAACATAAGCTTTTCAGACATTCAGACTTTTTTTGCGCAATTGTCAGACCTGCACAACCCTAATTTTCACGTTTTGCACCACGTTGTTTAAATAGCCATTTAATCCATTTGTGCCAGTTTGTGGACTCATGGGTGTTCCAGTCTATAAAGGAGGTGTGTTAAGGCTCATTGTTGGCACGTTGCTTTTTTGAAAAACTGAATTAGACTGCACAACTGATTAAGTAAAAGCTGGTCTAAAGTCTAGCGCAGAGTGCGTTAATTGTGCGCCTATGCAGGTTCACTTAATACACACAGGATGTACAGCAATACACATATATATTTACATATGAAAAAAATAAAGGATTAAATTGTTACAAAAATTGTTATTTACTACCAGGGCTTTACATTAACACCCGCCAACCCGCCAAATGCGGGTAGATTTCAGCTTTGGCGGGTTGGACAGCCGCTGCAACTAGCCACTTTGGCAGGTTGGAAATATTTTTTACATTGTAGTTTTCTTAAAGCAGGGTTCGACAATAAGCATGGCCCAATATGCATGCAAATGTGATCTTAGAATCGAGAAGCAGCACGACTGAAAACAACAACTGTGTTCGCACGAGACAAAGCAGGTGAATACCCTATGAGAGGATGATTACTCACGCACACAGGTGATGTGATGCGCGCAACTGTTAAAAAACGCACGCAAGCGTCCCCGTTTACTTGCGTTTTTTATTTCCGTTCACTTGCGATCAGTTCTCTTTAAAAAATTCTAGAATAGAATTTGAATAATGTTATTATAATTAGCAGTATTATATATTATATGCATATTTTTATTTGTTTTAATAAAACTACTTTGGATTTGTCCACCTGGCATAAGAATAGGACGTGTTTGGATATATACACCACTTTGTTATTATTGTTAATGTATTCGTTTGCTGGAAATTAGACCTGAATTTAGAAATAGTTTTAAAACAAATCTTTGCTCTTCACAAACTAGTTTAATATGTAGGCTAATGATTGTCTTCAGTGAAGTATGTACAACACTTTTTTATACAAAGGTAAAGGAGTAAAGTGAAGAGTAAAAGGAAAGTAAAAAGAAAATAAAGAGGCCGAAAGGGATAGGCTCATTCTTTATCCTTGCGCAGATAGTCTGTTAAACAGTTTTTTCACTAGTGGAGCATTTAGTTTGTCCATTCAGTTTTTACACAAACAAGTCTGCCATGTAAATACAAAATGCACCATGGTGCAATGAACTGACTCTGAAAGGGAATGGGAGATGAGACTCTGATTGGTTTAAAACACCTTATACTCAAAACTCACTCATTAGTGTTTAAGAGAATAAGCTCAAACCTGTTAGACCATGCACCGTCGCGCAAAGAATTTTTCCATCCTTAAAATATCAAAAGTGGATTTGGATATGCACTTAATGCTTTTGCACCATGCGCTTTAGACTTTGCTCCTAGATCGTTAAAATAAAGTCCTTACATTCTATTGTAACACGATTACAATGTTTTAATTTCAGAAGAGTTAAGAAACCAGTATTAGGCTGAAAAACCCTTTTCTTCTATCATAAAAAAAGAAAACATGCTATTTGGACTAATTGTAATTTTATGACAAAATAATTAGGTAACAAACCTTTTTACTTGTAAGTTGGAAGTAATGTTAACAAAGATAGAATAAATCTAATATTACCATAAACTGTATGATCTTTCAGTTTTTCAAAGGCTGTATATATAATTGCATATTAAACTCCTTTTTGGTTTGACACAATTGTTTTTAATCTCTGTACTAGCGGCCTCAGCTAATTTAAGAGTCAGCCATGATGAATTTAGACCTGACCTGTGCTGGAAGAAGGTCTCCAGAGCTTTGCAGATGGTGTATCTCTCCTGCAGGGTGAGCAGGTGTTCCAGCTGCTGGCTGAAGGTACGGCCGTGAACGCGAATGCTGGGAGGAAGGATCTCAGCCACCCACTGCAGAGAGCTGAGGGCTGGGGAGCGTGAGCGGGGGGCGCTGGGGGTTTCCTCTGGTTCTGAATCGGACTGAGGATAATCCACAGGACCCTCCTCCACCACCAGGGAGGGCATCGCACCACTGCCCTGCAGCATCGACACCACCTTCTCATGGGAGCAGTTCCTGGATGTGCGTTCAACAGATTCAATAAGAAATGATTATTTCAGTTAACCATAAAAATATATTCAGCCAACATTTAGTTATTCACTCAAAAGAAGAAAAATTGTGTTGTTTTAATAAGATTTTAGTTCATTCATCTAATATCTGATACATATGACAGATTTTTTGTTGGTTATGATTACTTATGTTTTTTTTTTTTTCACATCCAACACTCCTGTGACTAACACTTTCTATTTGATCTATAAATGAGTGCTCTGGTCCTCTAACCTGATCACCATCTCCTCTATTTGATATTCTATATTTTTTAGTTTGTTATAGTTCTAATAAATAAGTTCTAAACCACAAAGACAACCAATTTTTTCTAATGGGAATTAAACAGTAAGTACATGTCATTATTGAAGACAGTTCCCATGCCTTTAATAAAAAAATTCAGCTTTTGTCATAAAAAATGTTTTAGGCAACCTCAATGTGTATCTAATGTCATTTGAGCCAGCTGACATTAGAATTTTTAAATACTACATTTTAAGTATAAATATAGTTAATTGCGTTTTAATGTGTTTTATTAATCGTTTATTTTGTTAATTTGTTTCGCTGTAGAAGTAGTTGTAGAAGTAGTATTAGTAGTTGTAGTGGTATTAGTAGTAGTAGTTGAAGTGGTGTTAGTAGTAGTAGTTGTAGTAGTGGTAGTAGTCAATGTAGTAGTAGTAGTAGTTGTAGTCGTTGTAGTAGTAGCTGTAGTAGTAGTTGTAGTAGCATTAGTATTAGTAGTAGTAGTTGTAATAGTAGTAGTTATAGTAGTAGTAGTTGTTGTTATAGTAGTTGTTATAGTAGTAATAGTTGTTGTAGTATTAGTTGTAGAGGCAGTAGTAGTAGTCATTGTGGTAGTAGTGGTAGTTGTAGTAATTGTAGTAGTCATGGTCATAGTGACAGTAGTAGTAGTATTAGTAGTTGTAATCGTATTAGTAGTAGTATTCATAGTAATAGTAGTAATAGTTGTAGTAGTAGTAGTAATTGTTGTTGTGGCAATAGTATTGATTGTGGTAGTGTTAGAAGAAGTAATAGTAGTAGTTGTAGTGGTAGTAGTATGTTTTTGGATGTTATAGTGTTACTTGCTTTCTTGTGATGCATGTGATTTGGATGTTGGCGATTTTCATTTGTGGACAATACATCAAAGTCAAATCCAGACACTAACTAATTTTATTTCCCTTATATATTTTTTTATTTAGATTACCTTAACCTTTTCCCTATTTCTATTATATGTTCTTATTTCTTTTGTTACTTCAACTTGTCCTTTGGCAGTTTATTTTTCAAAGTGACTTGCAATAAAAGCAATAGAAGTAATCAAATTAACAATAAAAATTGTAACATGAATGTAAAATATATCCACATAAACGGAGACATTCAATCAAGGCCTTATGAAGGGACACTATTGCTTCATATAATGAACAAATGTAATTTAGTATTTTATTCACATTTATCCACTGAACATTTTGAAGCATCAGAGATTCAGTGGAATAATGGAAATAATCCGGTTTGATTAAAAATAGCATCTTTCATATGATGTAAGTTTCTTATGGAACTGAAATGACACGAAAAGTGAGTAATTGATGACTGAATTATGACAAAACACTTAAGTAATACTAAAATATTTAATAAACATTAAATATATATTAGTTTATATAGTAAAATAGCATACTTGTAAAGGCTTTACAAACTAAAATCAAGAGATGGTCTACTCTGTTTTGTAGTCGTTCATTGTGCCTGTAATTTATGAAATAAGCAATGTTAGCTCACATATAATAAAACAAATTAATTTGTGTTTTATTCTTTGCTTTCATCCCGTTTCTTTTTTCTTTAACAATTTTTTTTGTAATTTTTACAAAAGCCTATTTAATATGTTTGCGTAGACAAAAAAAAAACATCTAAATGTATATGTAAATGTAAATTAATTATTTGCATATGAACAATACAGCGCGACGCAGTGGCGCAGTGGGTAGTGCTGTTGCCTCACAGCAAGAAGGTGGCTGGTTCGTGCCTCGGCTGGGTCAGTTGGCATGTCTGTGTGGAGTTTGAATGTTCTCCCTGTGTTCGTGCTCCGGTTTCCCCCACAGTCCAAAGACATGCGGTACAGGTGAATTGGGTAAACTAAATTGTCCTTAGTGTACGAGTGTGTGTGAATGAGTGTGTGTGGATGTTTCCCAGAGATGGGTTGCTGCTTGAAGGGCATCTGCTGCATAAACATGTGCTGGATAAGTTGTTGGTTCGTTCCGCTGTGGCGACCCCAGATTAATAAAGGGACTAAGCCGAAAGGAAAATGAATGAATGAGTGAACTAACAATACAAATACGGTGATTTTCTTATCAATATTATATTATTATTATGCTTATTAATATTACATTTCTTTCTTCAATATGTTTTATTGAATTTGTCATTAACAACACAAGTGTGGAAAGTAAGTATAAACGATGAGAGAAACATCATTGTTGGCAATCCCTAAACTATCCCTTCAACTATAATCGTTTCTATTATATGTGTTTTCTGCTGAGAAAAGCTTCAGTTTAGAGATGCACAAAAATAAACAGCATCTTTTTGTTAATATTACGTCTAAATATTTGCACAGTTGGTGTTGTAGGAAATATGTTACTTACTGGATTTTATGTTTGTCATTGCCCCAAAGGCAGTATTACAGTAAGTTAAGCATCTACATGCTCAAGTCAACTGCAGCCTCTTGAGATTAACTACACAGAAGCAGCTAAATCCTGGCCGCAGGATAGAGATTTACATTTAGGACTAAACAAACAAAGCTTATTGTTTGTTTTAAGGAGCAGCAGAAAATACAAATGAATAATGTTAATGAAGTAAATCTATTTCAAACTTTACTTGTCACATCGTTACATGAGTAGGCCTATTTTATTGAACATTAACCCTATATACAAAATATACATAGTCTTTTTTTGGCTACATTTTCCATTTAAAAAGTGTATTTTCATTGAAAGTTGATATATTACACTTTCATTTTCTTTTATATTATACATCTCTTTTACACTGTGTGTGTCAGGGTTCTGCCACTGTGGTCTTGTAAATTCTTGTTTTGGTGGCAGAGTCCGGACACTAGTTCAGTATTGTCCTGTATGTTGTGGTCTGCTCGAGCACTCCTTTTCTATCTTTATGTCTCTGTATGGGCACCGTCGTGAGTGAGCTCAGACTATGCGCACTCCCACTAAATGCAGGCGCGCAAGGTCTGTGCATGCTTGGGATCCACACTCTTGTGCTCGTGTTTGTGTTTTGTTCTGTTGGCATCGCGCGGTTTCATTCTCAGCGTCTCAGTCTGGTTGGTTTTGGTAGGCGCTGAGATGAAACACGTGCGTTGAATGCGTGTGAGCACAGGGTAAGGTGTTCATCTATCGTTTGCTCTAATCTTGCCTATGTTTATACTGTCTAAGTGCGTGGCTCTGTGTGTACATTGTGGCCGCGTGCTTCAGTTTTGTGCTGTTAGTGTTGTCTTGTGAACACGCGGTTAATGAGTTCTCTCGTTGGCTGTGTGTTCTTGTCCTGTTTTATGTGAGCACATGGCTTGTGGTGTTTTCTTGTGTCATGTGCTCTCCTGTCTATTGTCTAGTCCCACCCTTGTCAACCCGTAATTAGTTTATGTTCACCTGTCTGTTTGTAAATTATTTCTGCTGATATTCTCCTCATGTCTGCTGTCCTGTGCCAATTCGTCGTCTTATGCTGCGTTGTCCTGTTGTGTGTTCCAGTCCTGATCCCTGCCAGCCTACCCAGTCTAGTTTGTTTATTTGTTTTGGTAATGTTTTCCCCCTTGGGGCAGTTTGTTTTGCCTTTAATTTTATTATAAATAAATACACATTTTTTACTGCACCTGAGTCCTCCCTCCTTTTCCCCACACACTGATCATGAAAGTACGTTTAAAAGCATATTAAACTGCTAATTTCAGCCATTTTGTCACCGTTGTTTCCATTTTGGCCTGTGGAGCAAATTACTTTGAGCAGAAAACAAATGTAATAAAGTTTTGAATCATAATTATGTGGGTGGATTGGCACTTTTTATCGATATACTCAGATATTTGCATGAGTGTTTTATTTGACATATCCGAGAATGTAATAATCTAACAAATAAATCAATAACCAAACAGAAAAGTATTAAACTTGTAGCATTTAGGAATTATTACGTGGTAAATAATACATTTTATAAGTGTCATTATGTAAACTGTAATAAAAAGAATAATAAATATTTAAAATAAAAAACAACTTTTTGGGTAGTTATCATCAAGACTGAGGGTGATAAAGAAATTAAGGTTCAGAGTTCAAATGCAATACCCTCTAAATCCATCAGACCTCTTTTTTTGTAAATGAGCATTTTGTATTAGGCTCCTCTAATTAGGTTTAGAAGTTTCATTTTATAGACAATAATAAGGATATTAACTAGTAAATAAAATAGTTTATTTATTTATTTTTTTCAAAAATGTCACTTTAGACAATTCTTTGGTTTTTAACAAGGTAGATATTCTTTTGTGTCAATACCAGCTAAATCCACTTCTTCTTTTTATGCAAAAATCTCTAAATCCACCTATTGGGACAAGACAGTGTAATTAGTTGAAAAATCACTAAAGATGCAATTAGAAATTATTTTAATAAACATAAAACACATTACACAAACCACCTGAAATTAAAAATACATAAATCTGTCAAGTAAGTGGCGGTTTATTCTGCTGTGGTAACCCCTGATAAGGAAAATGAATGAATAAAATCTGTCAAGTAAGTGCATTAATCAATATCATTAAACTTGACATTAATTAAATCTTAACAATCTGTTGTCATTTCGGATATTTGGGATTTGGATTTATTGTAAGTAGAGCAATGTAAACAAGTTTGTGAGATTCAAATAATGTAGTGTAAAAGCATGTGAAACATCTATATTTGTGCATTGACCATTACTAAAAAATAATATAATTTATTGAAGTAATATAAATAATGTATAGTAATTTATCTTTTAAAACATAGCTTACATTAGCAAATAAAACATAAGGTAGGCCTGCTGTGCAAAAAAAAAAGATGTTTCTCAGAGGCTGTCATTTATTCATCCTTACTATACTCAAGGTCTTAATCTCTTTTTCATTTATTGTTTATCCTCAAAGCATCCATGCAGGATAAAAAACTGGCATCTTAACTTCGTCTTTTGTAAGCACAGTTGCCTTTTAATGTATAGTAAATCGAACTCATTCAAAGTAGCTTCACTGAAAAAAAAAGTTATGAATGCAAAAAAAGCACAAAAAAAAAAGTTATGAATGCATGCTACACTTCCAACTGTACATTGAGTTTTGAGTTTTCTTTTTCTCATAATGCACAGTTTTGAGACAAGGGACACTTTCATTTGCCATTCACTGAGAGTCGAACAGGCTCATCCAGTTCATCAAACTCCATCTTTTAAAATCTAAATCTGAAGCAGAATAAAAGTCTCCTCATAAAAGCCAGCGTATCAGTGTGCCGCTGTGTGTGTTTATTTATATGATCCTGTAAGGTACAGTACGTCACGTGAAGTGTTTGGAAATAATCTCACATAATGACATAATCTCAACTAAAACAAAGACAGGGTGGGCCTGTCACTGTTTTGGAGCACACTAGATTATAGATGATCTTTAGACACACATATTGATACTAACACCTAAGTGAAGTTTATTCATAAACTAATTTCGAGAGGATCACGTGCTTATGATTTATCACGGCCGGTCTTGCATTTGCTAATCACTATCTTCCAATCATATGAGCCCTAAGCTACTATAAATAGCCACAGTTTTCAGTTCACTTTATCTTCGTTTGGAAGAAACCCCCCTCCTCCCATATTTCCCTCCTTTACCTCTGATTGGGCGGCACGGCGGTCCAGTGGTTAGCACTGTGAGCCCCACAGCAAGAACACTGCCAGCCCTGGTTCCACAGGACCGGTGGGTGTTTCTGTGAGGAGTTTGTATGTTCTCCCCGTGTCCGCGTGGGTTTTCCCCGGGTTCTCCGGTTTCCTCCCACCATCCAAAGACATTCAACATACATAACAATCAAGTTTTGTCTAATCCCTTGTGTTCCCTTAGCTACCGCAGCAGGGAAGTTCTGAGATCCACTGAGCTCAGGCTCCCCTCTTGCTCTGCCAATGGGAGGAAGCCCCGGGCTCGAGGAGCCCTTTAGCTTGGGGCTCTCTCCCAGGACAGCATGCCAAACAAGCTTTTATAAATCATCAGCTAAGTGTGAACTATTGAAAACAACTTTAATTACAGCTTTTTTGACGCAGGATATTTTGAATTGTATGTGTGTGTTTAAAATTAATGCACAAGGATCAATTAAAGCATGTTGGAAGCTGATTGTTTTCTTCCCTCTGTAATTATTATTTTTTTGTGTGTGTTTTAGACAAAACAATTGAAATTATTTAAATGGAACATTTTAAGTTAAATTTACTTGCAAATATTTACACCACCATTTTGTGTGTGAAGCATTTTTAAAATTATCCTAAAGTCGCCATAAAATGGATGTTAAGTTTGTTTTTTGTTTTCTGTTTTTTAAGAAACGTTTAAAATATGTCAATAACATGTCAGGCTAAATAATTAAATATATTCATCAGATTCTTCATTAGATTCAAAAACAGTTTTCTTCTGGAGATAATTTTCCCTAATAAACTTAATTAAATAGCAGTATTAGCGTGTTAAAACTAAGAAACAAATATATATCATACATATCTTACATACATCGTAAAAAAAAAAACTTACATATTGTTAGAATGGTATAAAAGAAAATCTTAAAAACCTTGACTTTTCCAAACCGCTTAATTATGGTTAATTGTGGTAAAAAAGCTTAATTGTCTTGTGTTGTATATCCAATTGAAACAGCACTAAAAAGAGAAAATAGTGAATGGCGGTGCATGATTTTGTCCTTTAGGATCTGATTGGATCATTGAAAGATTGGTGGTGAAACAGGATATTTTATTACCTCACACTGTAATACAAAGTTCTATTTTATTCTGTTCCTCTTTGTTTGCCATAGTATCTACTGTAACACCATTTTAACTGCTAAGAATTTTTTAAAACACCATCAAATTATAACAAAAACAAACACACACCTCATATCGAGCCCGTTAAGGAACAATATGCGATCTCCTGTTTTAAGGCCACATGCTTCAGCTGGACTTCCTGTAGTAGAAAAACAATGGTTTGAGACACAGTATAAATCCTCAGACACTCAAGCAAATAATACACACATACACACACACACGATCCACTTGAGTGACTCTTATTAATGTGTAACCCCGCCGTCCTTTGTGATTAGTGGTAATTAAATCATTCCGTCGTAGGTCCGCGAGAGTTTTTTCTCATCACGATGCAGGACTCCTACTTGTTTTCATAAGCATCCCCACACGGGTGGCTGAGTCAGTGTTAACTAGCCTTAGCACAGGCCTGCAGTGGGCGAATATCGTCATACACGCACTCACACACTCACCGCCCTCACACCACTCGTGCAGACTTCAATACAAATGTACCCAAGGCTTGTTCATTAGTTCAACAGCCCACTACTTCCTCTTTCACAAACAGTCTGTTCCCCTTGAAAAGCAGCCACTGACCCCAGCTGTGCATTCTGTGTGCATGTTATTCACACGTCGTCTCTGCAGCCTTTTGGCAATGTGACCCTTCACGCTGAACAGACTCTGAGAGCAACAAAACACACATCCTGGATTATGGTGATTTGTGTGAGAAAAAAGCATTAGAAATGGCTGCTGGTGAAAATATTTTATTAGGAGTGTTAGGGAAACCCCTAATACAGCTACATGTGATAAGATGCTGCGACATGTGATAAAAATGGCCGTTTCCACATTAAAAAGTGTATTTGTCCTAACCAGCCGTGAAGACGACTTGTAAAATTTCTATTTTAGAAATAGTTTCAGCAAGCACCAGCAAAATAGTTTCAATTAGGGGCCAAGCACAGAAGCTGCGCAGGCAACTTTTGTATCTGTTCTGATTCTTATTATTCCGGCTACTTCTTATTCTTCTTCTTTTCTCTTCTTTATCTTCTTCTTCTGGAAGCCATTAAAACAAACTCATCCTTGACTGTTTGTCTGATTGTCACTAAAGTTGATCAACATGCTCTACAGACCATGCTGACCAAGAGTTATGGAATTCAAGTTGATTAGACAAACCGTTTTCGATAAACTTACGAACAAATTTACCGCAGAGCTTGCCAAAATTGACTTAAGGTGTTATCTCTGTAACGCATAGACGTACTGTAATTACATCAACTTGGTGTGTGTTTTGACAACCGTGGTCTAAAGTGAGCTGCAGCGTTTCGGTGCACTGCCCCCTAGTGGTCCGGAGATACCAAAGATGGCTTTTCTTTTGCTTATAATTGCTCAACCCTCTGTCCAATGTTCATAAAATTCTTTTTACATCCAGTGGAGCATGCCGAGTCAAGTAATGTCTGATTTTCCCCGGTCAGTCATTTTGGCCATTGGCCATTTTGAATTGTCAAAAATTGCTATATTTTAAGTACGCATTGGCGATTTGTTATGAAAGTCGGTATGTGCCTTTGGGACTGTGCCCTGAAGGTGTTCAAAAAGTTGTTGCAGCGACACCTTTTGGTCAAACATTGTTACAATATTCCTAAAAATGCTATTATCTTTAAACTAATTTTACTTATTGTTATAATACTTGTCTTGATAGATTCCTTGGGTTGCCCTAAGAATATTGATTGCAACTTTGGCTTAATTCACTGACTGTCCCGTTCGCCATCTAGTCTTAAGCCAAAAACCTACTTTTTTTTTTAACTCCGACATTGTTTTGCTGATTTGCACCAAATTTGACTTCATCTTCAGGTCATCTTCAGACCATACTGACAAAAAGGTATTGAAGTTGTGTCGATAGGTGTAATGGTTTTTGTTAACTACAGTGACAAATGTGATGGCATGATGCCAAACTCCATCTGAGGTTGTATATCTGCGATAGTTAAAGATAATGACACCAAATTTTAGGCCCGTCATTGCTGCCTCACACTGACCAGTGACCACACCATAAAAGTGCCTCCTATGGATCAAGAATTATAAGACATTTATTAGTTATTATTAATGAAACGTACACATTTGGTAATAACTTCTGACCGCATATGCTTATTTTGATGAAATTGAAAACCAATTATGACATAATCAGCCAAACTTCCTGCCTGCCATTTTGATTTTGTTCAAACCATTCTTTTTTAACTCCTCCAAGACATTTGTTCCAATCTTCACCAAATTTGACTCGGATCATCTTCAGACCATGTAGACCAAACAGACATAGAAAAGTCCATATTATTGTGATTTATATCATATTTCAAAGGAGATATAAATATAAAATAATCACATATGTTGTGGATGACCCTTATATCAAGAAGAGGGCCGAGTTTTCTACTGAACCAAAAATTTTTAGCCTGTCAGAGGCGTTAGATACTGTATAAGTTATTACATTACATGAAAAAAATCCTAAATACTGTTCAGAAGCATCCTATAGATAATTACTTGAACTAAACTGTTGTAGTACTTATATTGTTGCTGTGGTACAGCTGTAGTATCAAACAAATTATTTAATAGGCTTCAGTCAATGAACTTATCATCAACAAACATTCACCGCTGCTGTGCATATAGATGTAAATGTTATGGTTGTTTGTTCTGCTGAAACGCCAGTAAAGACTTGGATTATTGCAAAACAAGTTAAACACTTCATTGCAGCGATTAAATGGCAGGGTACCTTATTTTACATTCTTCTGGATTTTGTTTAAGCGTGTTAGTGTTTAGTGTTAAGCGTTTAGCATGTCTAGGGCTGTATATAATCTTTATGGGTGCTGTCAAACGTATTAATCACATTCAAAAAAAAAAAGTTTGTGAACATGGATACATTGAATAAATGTTGATTACATGCCGCCTTTTCTTCTGTTTTTCAGTTAGTTTCATGAACTATGAGCAAAAAACTTGTGGAAGTGTATAAAAGCTGTTCTGCATTTCTAATTTTGGCCGATCTAAACAATTATAAACAACAGAAAACCTAAATATTTTGATGTTCTGATAGCGATTCCGATGTAGAAAAATCACTTCCTGCCCTCCATCTGAATATTGTGCATCATCAATGGTGTCAAGTGAAAACAACCTATTGCCAAACTGAAGGAGACAGTAGATAGTTTACCTCAGATCTTCCAAAAAAAAAAAAAAAACTAGCTAACATTTTTGGAAAATGAATTTATTAATAATGTTAAAAAGCTTTAATATGTGTTAATTAGATTAAATACTATTTCATTGGCTGTGCAGTGCACTATTCTTTGGCTCTGTTACAGTATGTGAATGTTTCTGTCATGTCACGTCTTGTACAGTCAGACAATTTGCTTGTCACTGGAAACTTGTCATGCCATGTGTTGTTAGGACACAGTGGTATTGGGATAGTTCACCGAAAAGTTTTTATTCTGTAATCATTTACTCACCCTTCATCTTGTTGTCAAACACAAAAGAAGAAATTTTGTAAAAAGCTGGAAACCTGTAACCATTGACTTCCAAAGAATTAGTTTTTCCAATATAGAAATCAACAGTTACAGGTTTTCAGCTTCTTTCAAAATATCTTCTTTTGTTTTGAACATAAAAAGAAAGTTTTAAAGGTTTGAAAACACACAAAGGCTGAGTAAATATTGGGCACTTTTACATTTTTTGGTGAACTAATCATTTAATGAGTAATTTACTGAACCATTCATTCGAACTATTCATTGAAATTGGCTGGCTCGTTTAAAAACAAAGCAAGAATCTGTCCATATTAATGTGTGAATATGAGTTCATTAATAAGTAGCAAAAGGGTGTTGCTCTTAGACACCGCACAAATAATGAGGCTTTGTCTGAAGTACTTTCACTGACAACACAAAAAGGACACTTAAACTACCAGAACTCTATAACTACTAAAACTATAACTATAACTACTAAACCAGACTTAACTGAAAACTTTTTACATTCATATTTAAATTTAAAGCTTCTATTAGGATTTTAGAGTTAAGTTTTGAATGTCTGTCATCATATTTTATGAATTCATCGCCCTAAAAATATAATCTTTTATACAGCATATAATTGTGTACAAGTTACCAGACTGCCCCCAAGGTGCAAATTTCACTTTCTCCAGCAAACAGGAGAGCAAGGCTTTTTCACCGCAGTGAAAATTTACGTCTGAAGTTGTTATTTCTATCAGAAAGTTATATTTTTGTTAGCAGAAACTTGCTAATCAACAAAGTGACTCCTATTAAAAGCAAAATAGTGGATGTAAATATCCATGCTTGCATTTATGCTCAATCAAAACGGAAAAGTTGACAAAAGTTCTAGAATAACACAACGATTACTATTCTCAAGCAGTTTTTAAAAGGCTGATCGTTTTGGACTGTTGGGTTTGCAGTGGTATGTGAGCATTAATTGCTTATTTGTTGAATTGTTGTATTAGTCAAATTAATATTTGTGAGTGCACTGATGGAACTCAAAAGAACAGCACTCTTGCATTGTGATATATGCAAATATATATTCATTTATATTCATTCATTAATTCATTTTCTTGTCGGCTTGATTCCTTTATTAATCCGGGGTCGCCACAGCCTAATGAACCGCCAACTTATCCAGCAAGTTTTTACGCAGCGGATGCCCTTCCAGCTGCAACCCATCTCTGGAAAACATCCACACTCACATTCACACCCACACTCATACACTACGGTCAATTTAGCTTACCCAATTCACCTATACCACATGTCGTTGGACTGTGGGGGAAACCGCTGTGAGGCGACAGCACTACCTACTGCGCTACTGCCTCGCCTATGTTTTATATATTCTAATACTTTAAAAAAAGCTTCATCATTATGCAAAGAATGCTTTTGGATTCTGAAGACGTGTTTGTTTATAATCTGAAAATATACATTTAAATTATTATCGAAGCCGAGAAATAATGCAAATAAATAAATTTCACAAGCACCTGGCATTACTGAGTCGATCCACACAGGAGCATGACCTCTCAGAGTGAAGCCAAAGCTCTTCTTCCCCCTGTACACACGGATGGTTCTGCAGAGGAAAAGAGAGACGCATTGCTGGCTGCACAGTATGTTTAACACCCACATAATATCCAATACTTGAATTCAAAATGAGATTTTCACGTTTTCTGAAGAACATGACTGCTGCTATCATCGCCACAGTTTTAGCTTGTAGTGGGCAGTCATATATAGTAGGCATACTAAACAGGGTTTGGGCATATTGCTGGATGCACATCAATACTGTAGTATAAATAGATCCACAATGACAAGCTACTTATCTAGAATTTTTCTTGAACATTAAATGTAACCATTAAAGATTAAACAATCATTAAAAATATCTCAAAGTGAAGCAAATAAAATGCTGATGTCTTTTCTGTCTTTAAACAGTGAATATGTAGAAAGCTGAAGTTGTTGAGATGGCTGGAATGTTTTAATCAATAATTATTGATATTGCTGTAAAATCTGCATTTTTATTCGTCTTCATTGTTCATTTTGCTATTAATGAACACTGTGTGTCATGTGAACGTGATTTGCCTTTAAATATATATTTTTCCTGAAAATAAGCATAATTTAAAAAAAAATATATCAAAAACATGTCAAACATAATCCGTATTAATGTTTGCATTGTTAAAATTATACTGTTTACTTTGTTAAATATAATTTTAAAATGGTTAAAATCTTGAATCCCTAGTAGGTATAGAAAGTTGTTGGGACCAAAGCTTTTAAACAAAATGGTTAAAGTTGAATGTGCCAGTGATTTATTAATAAACAACATACAATAAAAGGGCTAAATTTGAGACCATTTCTGCATATGACACAATGGTATGTTGGGATATACAGATATTTACAAACAGATGCAGAATTAGACATGTTGTCTATATATGCAACATACCATATTATAAAGGTTTGGCATGTATTTTGCAATGATCAGATGTTATATAAAATTCTTCTGTAAAAAATGCTGCCTCAATATAGTTAAACTGCATGTGCCTATTAATAAAACAGAAACCGGTCTAAAATATTACCCTCAACATGGTTAAACTGCAGACAATCCAATGTCATAGGCCCAGATCACATCTTGAAAATGTGATTCAAATCAGCAATTACATTGTTGTATTTTAACAATCTAGTCAAAAGTGCATGGCACAAAAAGCATTAAGGGCATGTTCGAATTCACTTTTACTTTAAGGATGGAAAAATACACTCTGCGCCCCAGCGCATGGTCTAACAGGGTTATGTTTATTCCCTTAATGAGTTATGGGTGCATTAAACCAATCAGAGTCTCCCCTCCCATTACACTGAGTTATATCCAAACACACGTCCTATCCTTATGCCCCATATGGTGATGCAAACATCTCCAAAACCCAACATGTGGACAAATCTAAACTTGTTTTTATTAAAACCAACATAAATATGCATATAATAAATAATACTCTTAATAATAATATACAAATGCAAATTATCATGAATAAACTGAAAGAAGCCCACTGAGATGAAGTAGGCATGGAGGCAGGGGTTTTTATTTTTATGTAGAAAATAATAATTTTTGTAACATATTAATTCTTTATTTTTTTTATAAGTAAAGATATTTGTGTATTGCGGTACATACTGGGAGTATTAAGCAATGTGTACTTTTTTGGACTTGCATAGGCAGACAACTAACGCGCTCTGCGCTGGACTTTAGACCAGCTTTTAGTTGGTCAATGGCGGAGTCTAATTCAGTTCTTCAAAATAGCAACAAGCCAAAAATGAGCCTTAACACACATTTTTAGACCAGCACACCCATGACTACACAGTCACGCAAATGGATTTGCTATTTAAACAACGTGGCACAAAACGTGAAAATTAGGGTTGCGCTGGTCTGAAAATAGCAACAAATTGTGCCAAACACATCTTGTGCCTTATTGCGCCAGATGTATGATAGGGCCCAGGGTGTTTACGCAAACCCATTCTAAAAAAAAAAAAAAAAAAAAAAAAACATTTATGCATTTTGACCATTCATTTACACAACAACAGTTTTTGTAGGTCTTACCGCTTTGGGACTGAAGCTTTAAATTGTACATTATTGATAATAATACCACTATTATTAACATTATTATCAATTATCATTATCAATTAAAAAAACACAGGTACAGATTACAGGTATGCACAAATACTAAAAATTGTTGTGTATGTGTGGTGTTTTTTTATTCTTATTTTTTGCAAAGTAACCGCAAACTTTTAGCTCACATTTTATAGTAGATTTATTATTCTGTGTGAACAGGAAACAGTTTACAAAATTGTTGTCCATATGCAAAGTTTTCAAAAATGTGATGAAAGAATATATCTATTTGTGCCACATTATCATCACGTAAACATACATAAGGGGTTGCTAACTGGCTTTTGGCAAAATGGTTGGCAAGGTGTTCTAGGTGGGTGGTGGAGCATTGCTGGAATATAATTTGTAGTTTCAATTTGATTGTTAATTGGTCCACGGTGCAAAGGGCATTGATGGGATGTTGCTTGTGGTTTCTAATTGGTTGTTTATAAGCTCAATTCAAAAGAGCAGTTGTCCAACATGTATAATTTTTTTTGTTTGTGTTGTCTAGGGCATGCCTATGGTCATGTGGGTGACAAAGGTATTCTGATTCTGATGGTTGATAGAGCATTGCTATGGAACAGTGTGCAGATTGTTTATCCCCAGACAAGCCTCTACCCTTCTATCTAACATGTTTATATGGGATTTTCCATGTAGAGTTTGCCTACCAGCAAAAAAATAAAAATAAAAATTTTTAAGTTATTGTGTATGTTTACTGAAAGTATGTGACCTATGTGTGACGGAGGCCAACCATGACAATAACCTATATCTTTAACAAAATGGACAAGTATGGCAATGCCTTACTCAAATAGCCTTTTAAGAAGCAATTTCCCTGCTTCTTAGAGAAATCCTATGACATATCATTAGAGTATAGCTAGCCTCAGTGGTTGCTGTGGCAACACCTCAAGGCGACACTGGAGCGGTTGAGTAAACAGAGATAAGGCGAAAACATTTGCTTCTTGTCGCAGTGCCATTTTACATAAGGTGGGCCACCAGAACCAAACCCTGGCAGTGGATTAGAAAAGGGAATGACAGACAAACAAAGACTTGTTAAAAAAAGAGAAAATTCTCTATAGGGATTACATAAGGACTCAGCCAAGGATGCATTATTTATTGAAGAGCAGCAGCTTTTCAGATGAGGAATTCAGTATACAGGGGATCATATCTACTCTTGCTGTTATCTAAACACTGTCGTTGATACTTCCTCAGGAATATTTGAGATATTGCTTTCAAATCACAAACAAAGTAGGTTGTGCTGACATCAGATCAAAGATATACAGTATGAGCAAATATAAAAGCAGTCTAAAATCAAGCATCTGCTTGTACTATGGCTAAAATTAAAATAAGAAGCTTTATGGCTTGAAAACGAAACAATGGCAATCTTCCCAGCAGGTTAAGCCATGATTATAATAGAAAGATAACTGATTCTAAAATGATCAACCAATAGATCACCGTCAGAAAATGAGCTCGTGATGTGGAGAGTACGTGCATGTGAAAGCATGAGGCACAGAAACAAACACAACTGAATAGTGTTTTTCCCACCCACCCACACACAATGTCTCCCCCTAATCACACAGTGTTCTGCGTTTGAGGAGACTTCCTGCACTGTTTTGGAACTAATTTGTCATTTTTAACTTGAATGGAATATAAAACATAGCCAATTTCACATAAAATGCATAAACAATCATACCACCCATTATAAAAAGAGTTAAAATAAATGTATAAAATGTAATATATCTTGTATTATACACACCTCTGGTTGACTCCAGAGACATATTGGGTAGGAATCATGGTGTTGCTCTTCCTGAGGGTACGGTCATTTTGGGCAGCCTCATCACCGGTATCTCTGGGCACAGAGCTGGCCCTTTTGGATCCTTGAGGACGCTCATGGTGGTCTTGACTTCGGCTCCGACGCAGTCTGTTTTGGGGCTCACCCAAACTCTTGCTACGGCACATGCGGTTGATGAGACTCTGAGAAACGGCCTCGTCAAAGCGCTGCCGATGCTTCTTGGGGATGAAGATCCTGGCAAACATGATCACAGGAAGGCAACAGATTTAAACAGATTTCAATCAGCTTCGAGGAGCCATTTTGAGAGACTTTTGAAAGGTGGCTAGTTAAGTTCAGTCACTCAATTTCCCCATACAAAATGAAGAGGATTTTCAGTTTCGAGTGCACCGCATTCACTCAGATGAGAAAAATCTCTAGTTCAAAATCCATGTAAATATTCAACAGTGATGAGCAGAGAAGAGGGAAAAAAACAGACACAAAAAGCCCTCAAAGTAAGCCAAGTAATAAAAGAAATCCCAATTTTTGTTTTCATAGAAGTGATGAGGAATTCCAGCATGTATTTGCTTCTCTGTATGCTTTCTTCATCTGAATCTCCCACTCCAGAAGCTCTGGTACAGATACCAGAATCCAGCAATAGCAAAGGTGTGGGAGTACATCACACTACCGCCTCTCTCTCTTTCTCTCTCTGTCTCTCTCTCTCTCTCCTTATTCCTCATTCTCTTTTTGCCATTGCTGATTTTTTATGGGAAGTGCATCAATTATCAGATATAACATATTGCACTTCGAGATATGTATCAAAACTAAATGGCTCGACGGAAACATTTGGAAAAACATTTTTGGACAGTTTAAACTGCGTAGCTTCACCTTTCTAAAATTCAGGCCATGTTTGTCACATTTATGCAACACTGGCGGATATGGAAAAGCCTGTTATGCCGCCCACCAGGGAAACAGAAAAAGACCCCAATTGAAAAAGCTCAGCAAATGTAACCTTAGTAACCTCGACAAGTGTAACGTCAGCACAGTTCTGTCTGCTTTGTTCTGTCAAGGTGATGTGCCGACATTAGCATTTAAAATAATTTCATGTATTGAGCAAATGAAAGGCACATTCATTTTCTGAGTCATGATCTGTGGCATAAATTCTCCCGATATTTGTAGGTCTCTAATTGCCACAGCCAGACTCTATTCATTTAACAAGTCTAATGAATTACGAACACAAACTAAATCTAATTATTTCTTTTTCATATAGCAAACATAGTTGATCTTTGCAAAAATTGCTCTTTAAAGCGATAGTTTACTTAATTTCTCATTTCACCAACACAAAATATAATTTTACCCAAATGTTGTTCAAAATGTTTCTTACAACAAATATCAATGGGGTCCAAAATAACATTGCACACAAGATTGTTTAGAATATATACATTCATTCAGTTTTCTTCGGCTTTGTCCCTTATTTATCAGTGGTCACCACAGAGGAATGAACTGCCAACTTATCTAGCATGTGTTTTACGCAGCGGCTGCCCTTCCAGCTGCAACCCTGTATTGGGAAACACCCAAACACTATGGGCAATTTAGTTCATGCAATTCATCTATAGCGCATGTCTTTGGACTGTGGGGGAAACCGAAGCACCCAGAGGAAACCCACTGCAACACGAGGAGAACATGCAAACTCCACACAGAAATGCCAACTGATCCAGCCGAGCCCGAAGCAGCAACCTCTTGCTGTGAGGCAACAGTGCCAACGACTGAGCCACCATGCTGCCCAATGTTTTGGTTGTATATCTGAGGTAATTAAACTGCAAATAATGTTCCAGACTGATCATTTCATCCTCAACAGTCACAGGTATTTATTGTGTTTTGCCTATATATGTCCCTTTTTTTGACTTCCAAAGTGCCAGTAGACTTTGACTTAAATTCATGAATGACCAAGAACCATAACTTCTACAGAATAAAAAAAAAGTCATTACATCTTGGATGAACAGAGGGTGAATAAATTAAATGTTCTTTTTTGATTAGCAATTCCTCCTTAACTAACACACATATGCACTTCTGTTCACATTTGTGACTGACCCAAGATGACAAAACAAATTGGTATATATTTGGCAGCATAACCAAAAAACTTTGTATAACTCCAAAATATCTTTATAAATCTATTAAAGATTTCTGTGCCAAAAATCATTAACATTAGATATTTCATCAATTTTCTACTAAAAATATTTTTTTAAATGTGAAAAAGAAAAAAATACTGAAAAAATCATTTTATTTTACATTTGAGATTTATTTTAATTACATTTTATACAAAAAATGTCCCACTGTAAATATATGAAGAGTTCAGATGCAAAAACCTATAACCTATCTAAAACTTTCTTCTAAAATTAGCATTTTTCTCAGACTCTTGTGTGTAGGTTCAGTAATTTCACATGTATGTTGAGGAAAAGGGTATTTCCATTAGCTGTAAAGGGTAAAAACCAAACATAAAAATGGAGGCTGAGAAAAATGTCTGTTTTTGAAAGAAATTTCAGATGGCATTTAGACGTTTTTGCATCTTCATATCCAAAATTTTGTAATCTGCATTGTTAAGCACTGCATTTGGACAAATTTAAAGATGATTTCAGTATTTAGATTTTTTGCAGATTCCAGATTTTCAAATAGTTGAATCTCAGCATAATATTGTTCTTTTCTAACAAACCATACATCAATGCAAAGCTTTTTTTATGCAGCTTTCAAGTAATGCATAAATTCTACTTAAACATTTTGTACAATTATCTCTCATTTAAATAGACAAAAACCATCTGCACAAAAGACACTATGCAATCATAACCATTTACCTGGACATATGATTTAAAATTATGTCATTTCAAGAAAGTATTCCTCTCACCATCTGGCCAACAGTACTGACAGAAACACACCATTAGACAATTGTAGATAGCCGAGTAGCCTGAGGTTCACATTATTACAGAGACACAGTGACTTAAACGAGTGGCCGGTGATACATTAATGCATGCCATTTCAGACAGCAGACGAGAATAAAATAAAACATTAAGTGCCACGACAAACCTTAACACTTAAGCAGTAGTGCAAGAATTTAAAATGACAGCATACACCAGAATGTATTAACATTAATTATGCTTTCAGGAAAATGTGGATAGTTCTATTGCCGGATTAAATTTGCATTTGTAATGTAAAACTCATATGAGCAGTTCAGACAGTACCACAGTTTCTCTACTTTATAGCCAAATAGGATTGTTATTAAGAAAAGATAACCTATAATTAGAGCAAATGTTAACATGTGGCTATTTTTGACATTTTTATTACAGTACTTGACTGCAGCGTTGCAAAATTGGAGTTATTAATTCTGTTGCTGTAATCTAAGAATTGTTTGTGAGGTGATTAAAATAAAAAATAAAAAGAAATTAGTGAATTAATCAGCAAAATATCTCCGAAACATTACTGTGAACCAGTTACAACATGCCAGATCTCTTCTAAATGCACAAAAAAACTTTTAAATCACCATTTAAAATATCAGACAAAGGTTTAATATATTGCCAGAAACAAATAAGCATTTTGGTGATGAATTAACTAATAATATAATCACGTTTGCATCAAAAACCTGCAAACCTCTAAACTGACAAGTTCCACATAGATAGATCAATGCATGACATTAAAGTTGAATGGAAAGTACTCACCCAAAGCAACTCATCTTTTAGTTTATGACTCAGAAGCAGATGAAAAGTGGTTACTTTAGAGATATATTCAGAACAACAAGAGTCACTTTAACCCAGCGGGGTGTAATTGAACAGCCATCAAGAACCATTGACTATAACTGTCTAAAGACACTGCCTCTTTAAAGTGACCTGCAGAACACCAGCGCTGAGTAATGAGCACAAAATCCATGAGATTCACAGAGAGATAAAGAGATCATGTGTTTGCAGAAAGCCAGACATGTGTGTATTATATAGTCAGTTATGGCTATTGAGGATTAAATGAGACCAGTTATATGTTTCTATCAATTTGTGGATTCAGATGGGTCAAATCAGCAATCAATTACTCATATTAAATCTATAAAATAGTATTAAAATGTATAAATAAATTGTATTTGTTAATCTACATCTAAACAACTTAAACGTGCTGGATAAAAGCACGTCTGTTATGTGCGTTTATTCTACTTTACTGGGTGGGGATAGCATGTTTTGGGGTATGACAGGGTAGGACAAAATAAGATAAAACCAATTGTGGTAAACAGGGTAAAAATACGCTGAAAGTGTATAAAAATGTATAGGTCATTGATAGACATCTATTTATAACTTTAGGGTCATTTAATTTTTATTTTGATTTTTTTTTTCCAGCAAGGCAAGTATGCATTTAATTGGTTGAAATGAAAGTAAATAAGTCTAAGGGTGCTTTCACACCTTTCTGTTGTTCCGAAACAAAGATTACAAATGTTACATTGTTGCTCTTTGCTCTTGGAGCGGTTCGCTTTCACACTGCAAAGTTTCTAATTGGACCAAAAGAGCTAAAACAAGTCATGTGCGAGTAAACTCTCATTACACTGGTCAGAGTGTCAGGGTTTATTTTCAAGTGGTGCTCACTGCAGAGCCATTTAGGCAGAGCTGAGCTCCAGCTAGGGGGAGCTTGAGCTCTCGTTCCTCCTTTCTTGCACTTCTTCTACGAGTGATGTCACTGGGGTTAGGGGTGGTATGCGCCTTAAAACAGCTTATAGGAGGAGGAGCGAGAGCTCATGCTCCCCCTCGCTGGAGCTCAGCTCTGCTCAAATGGCTCTGCAGCAAGCAGTGTCTCTTTATTTTGCAGCGTCCCGCTAAGCTGTCAGGAGAGGTGGTGGTTTGGTGGTGATTGACAGGGTGCGCGTGAGCGACATGTCTGAGGAGAGACGCGGTGGGGAGGGGTGAGAAGGGTGCGTGACGATGCTTATTTGAGGACCGGGAAGGAGACGCGAGATTACCGGGAGATCATCACTCGTTTGCGGGCATCCGGAGACTCGCGAAACTTCCCGCCCTACTATTCTCTCTTCATGAAGCCGTAAGCCTCTTACACATCCATAAAACACTGTGATATAACCGCGCTTGGATCGGATCGCTTTCTCACTGCAATCGAACCGCTCCAGGTTTCGTTTCAATCGAGCAGAGACCACCTCATTCCAGCGATCTAGGAGCGATTACTTTGGCGCGGAACAGAGCGCGATTGCCCTGTTCACATATGCCAAACGAAGCGTGCTAACTGGGAAAACGAG